ACTCGGTATTTATAAGTTTAACTATGCTGCCCATATTTATGCAAAATCCTATGAAGATCGGACCACTTTATCATATAGCTGCCATCGGAACGATCGGTCGAAAATTAAGTTTTTGTATGGAAAACTTTTTTGTTGTTCAAGATATTTTGATTAAACACAGCATTTAAAGATTTCACTATGCTCCCATCAGTTTTGCAAGATCTTATTTACATGGGACTACCATATCATATAGCTGCCATAGGAATGATCCATCGAAAATTAGGTTTCTGATTAACAACCTTTTTTATTTATCAAGAAATCCAGACCAAACTCGGCGTTAACTATTTTCACTGTGCTTCTTAGATACGGTCAAAGCTCTATGAGAATTATGAAAAGGTTGCGTCTGCAAGGGTATCAGATCTTCGGCGTGCCGGAGATAGCCCTCCTTTCTCGTTTTTATTTTCATTTTTATTTATTTTATTTTATATTATTGTTATTTTATTTTAATTGTCGATGTTGTGGACTTTATTTGTTTGTTGTTACACAATTGGCACGCCTCACAGCAGAGGCTGCCCACATGGAAAAGCAATTGCATTTGAAGGCCATTGAGAACTTGCTATTAATTATAAATAAAACAAATTGTAAATAATTTGTGGGCGCAATACTTCATAAATGTGAAAGCCCCAACGCCCCCGCTCGGCAATTATGTGCTCGACTTTGGCAGCCAGCCCAAGACGACAAAACCAGTTAACATACAACTATGTGCATATGTCATATATACTTATTTGTAACATATATTTGTTATATACACAAAGGCCAAAACAGTTGCCAAGTTAACAATAATATAATAATAGACAAAAAATAGCCTTGATAAATGCGCCAACTGGCAAATGGCAACTGCCAACTGGCTGCCAGCCCTGACTAGTTAGTTAGTTACTAATTTTTCTTTTGGAATTCAAATTCTTTTTATATTTAAAGCTGTTATGCTACGACTTAAGCTGAGCAGCGGTTGGGGAGTTTGTTAGAAAAAGTTGCTTTGATTAAAGATAGCTTAATATGAATGGCAACATAGTAAGTTACTAAGAAAAATATATACTAATAATTAGAATGAGGTAAAAAAATGGAGAGAGATTGAAATATCTGCTTCTTAATCTGATTGTTCCCACAGCATAGCATAGTATAGATTCTTAGGCGTCTTGTCAAGGTCGAAATTGCTGAGCTTAGTCAAGACGCCTTAAAAAAAGACCTTATGATACTCCAAGTTGATAAGATTAAGACTGCGAGAGATATGTTTGTCACAGCAGCAGACAGATAAATGCCAGATATGTGGACTGGAAGCGTAGCTTTCTAAGGCTGAGAGAGCACTGTTTAGATTAGTTTTAGAAGCAAGCAGATAAATGAAAGATATCTTTCTATGCCTAAAACATGTCATATTCTTATAAGTTACATACTAGTTAGTATATAATCTTCCCTAAGTTAATACAAGCTACATAAAGCGAATGGAATTTCGACCAGAACGTCCTTCTAGAGAGGCGTAGCACTCATTCAATCGATCTCTCAGATCGATTTATATAGTCAAGCAAACTATTCTAAATTTATGTTGTTTTCATAATAACAGAAAAATTCAAAAAACAAATCGCTTAGTTACTCAACTGCGCTTCCAGCGCCAAATAAAACGTACCAAAAAAAAAAGAAACACATTTCTTATAAAATTCGAATACCCTCTAGAGGAACAAATACCTGCCGAACACACCTGCAACGCAAACGGGCCAACAAATAAAAACCAAGGCAGACAATTTATGTTCTGTTTACACGAAGCGCAGGAAAGGAGGAGGAAAGGAGGCTGCGCATATGCCGTTCATTTTATGCTCTCGCTTTCTTTTCTCATTGTTTATCAAATGCATTTCTTTTCAATTTCAATTTCAACTCATTTCACTGTCGCGGCCGCGACCAAGAACACACACGCACACAGGTGACTCACACTGGCAAAGCTTAGACAAGACTGTGCCAAAAATCAAGACAATTTATATACATAGCATACATATTTATTTATTTAATTATATGCTACATACACATGAATTCACAATGGATATGCTATGTATATATGCTCGTATACAAAACAGCAGGTTTGTCTTTTTGTTTCAAAATAAAGGCAACACATTGGCATACCCTGTAAGATGCTAGAAATAAAGTCTGTTGAAATAGGGCCTCAACAGATGCCTTATCAGACTTAAAAGCACAAAGAAAGTCGTATTTGCAGAGTTTATAAAAGTTAAATTAATTATAATTACTCATTACTCATTACTCATTACTCATTACTCATTACTCATTATTCATTACTCATTAATTACTTTAAAATACGCTTATTCATTTAAAAACTTAATATATAATAGTCATTTATTTCTTCCAAATGCTTTTACAGGATATCTTCTGGTTGGTAATTCACTTGGTCTTTACTGTTCGCCAATATCGAAAAGGGTTAAAAGAAAATTTCGCAGATTGCAAATAAGAATAATTATACTATGCTGTTGAAAGCACAAAAAAGAAAGAAATTCTGTTGAACACATTGAGAATAAGCCAAATCGTTTTTGAGCAAAAATCAAACATGTTCGATTCGTTTTTTTTTTTGTTTCACATTAACTTTTTATATAAATATTGGAATTGTTTTTGGCAACCATTTCTAATACATTTTTTTCCAATATATTTGCAAAAATATATTAATGTTGCTTCTCTAATGTATTTTTTTTTCGGCAACGTTTCTAATACAATTCCTTTTTTTTTTATATTTTTCATGTTTTCCGTTCAAAGATTTCGAAATTTGTACTTTGAGTTTTCGTACAATTGCACACACCTTGAAACACAGACAAATTTCATGCAAGAATGCCAAATAATATTTGAAAAATGTTCAAAACACGTTATACACTGTGCATTTGAAATGCTTAACTGCAATTTGGTAAAAATACGTATACGTCGCGTATGTCACAAACTTGGCACAGCTGTTTAAAATAGCAGCCGCATTTTCGAATATATTCTACCTTTTGTAGATTCTTCAGAATATGCTCGCTTCGATTGGAGAATTTAGTGGGAGATAGAGAGAGAGAGAGAGAGTGAGTGAGAGAACGACAAGACAATTGCGAACCGCACGCGTGCAGAGCAACAAGCAAACTGAACAACATGTTTCATGTTTGCTATTTTCTGTGCTTTCAAATGTGAAAGATGAAGACACACACACACACACACGCACACGCGCACACGCACGCACAGACACACACAAACGCGCGCATGCATGCATGCATACACTATTTAATTCGTTTCAAATAGAATTTAGTTTGAACGCACAAAGCCGTGGGAGAGAGAGAGAGAGAGAGAGAGGCGAGAGCAAGGGCAATAACAACAACGCCACGGCCAACGCGCGAGCGAGCAGCGCGTGAGCGAGAGCTTTGGTTAGCGGCAGACGCGCATTAGACGAGCAAATGACAACGCCGTTGGCGTCGACGCCGCGCGGGATATGGGTTAAAAAGCAAAATGTAGAAAAAAAAAAAAGCACGTCGCTTCTTGGCTGCAGCACAGTGGTTGCATACATACATGCACACATGTATATTCATTGCAGTAGCGTGCCCTTTGTATGTGCAACTTAATCTTGACTATTATTGTATATGGTATGTGTGTGTCAGTTTTTTATGCGGTTTACATTTCGCTGTCTCTACACAGCTAACCACATTGGTTGGGCTTCCAACTATTTTGAAGAGTTTTGCAATTGCCAGCGACAGAATTGAAACTGCGGAAAATTATGCTGTCAATTGACATTTTATTGCTTTTAAATTGACAATTATCAAGTCGATAGCAAGGAAATCGAAAGTATTTGTTTACCAAAAAAAAATTTTGGCCCATTAAATAATTCAACCACTGTGCGGGCGATTGCATAAGATCACATCAACAAAATTCGAACAGAAAACTCTTAATCTCAAAATGAATTTGTTTATTTCACGATAGGCACATTGCCGATGCGCGCGCGCACTTCCATTCATTTCGCCCATTAAGCTCATTAAGCTCATCAGAAAACTTCAACAAGAACGGCAAACGGCGAAGACTCAATCAAAACAGCGTCGTCGCCTGTTCTCTCCACATCTCCACTCTCCTCTTCGCTCATTGGTGGCGATATTTATGGCGGATGGAACTGTTCAATATGCGCGGCTTCTATTTATTATGTTGGCAGCATCGAACTGTTGTTGCTGCTCTCGAGCTTTCTCTCTCGCATTCTCTGTCGCGCCGTTCAATAGATCTTGCTCTCATTTGTCAGTTAATTAAAAGAGGCCTTTGATGCGCCGCCTCGTCAAAGTTGATTATTCAATGCAATTAGTTGCACTAATGCCATAAATTGCGCTGTCTGATATTTGAATGTGGCAAAGCTTTAAATCATTTCTGGTTGACCTCCGTGAGCTTTCATGGATTCTGATTCTGATTTTCCTTATTAGGCATTACAGAATATTTAATATTAATATATGTAAGGGTATTTTTTTGAAGCCTTAGTTGAAATGTATCAAAAATGACACACTTTGGGACAATTTAAAAGTTAGTAAGTTAACATTTTCAAGCGATTGGTTAACTTAATGTAAGCTCTATTGATTCGTTACCTTTAAAAATATAAAAATATATTTCCTAAGCTCTCCGTTTCTAGGATAATATTTTAATGTAATAACCAGAAGGACTTAAAAAAACATAAATAGTATCTAATATGTGTTAATAAATAGACTTTATAGACGGTATTACAACATAAAATCGCTCTGTGTGACGTAAAATTCGTTGCCTACTTTCAGGCTGAAAGTTAAAATGAACTGAATTTGTATTTCGAATCGTGAACTGCAAGGATATCTTTTATGTGGATGATCCAAATGATCTCATATGCTTTTCTCCACAAAACTTCAAGTACTCTTATAATAACTGGAGACCTTCAATTTTGAGCATAGATTTTTGATATAGAAGCTTTGTTAAGACTAAAATAAGTTTCTCTTACTTCTGAATTAGTTGATAATATGTTATTTATTCTGACTCGCAATCAGAGTCGCATTAAAACTGTGCTTAAATCTAGATCAAAGTCCTAGTGATAAATAATTGCTCGAGTTTTCTTGAACGGGGCAAAACTTAGAGAAAAGTATTCACTTAAGATTAAACAATATGGCAAATGTTTTTTATTCGTTTTTCTTTTTTTATGTTGATATTCTACGCATAATTTGGAGTCGAAAGTTTAACAACCAGTTGAAGAAGCTAGCGCGAGGATTCCGTGCTGCTTCGCTTAAAAAAAAAAGAAGTAAAACGCAATCTCAATGTTATAAAGTATTTACAATGCGCCGTAGAAGCGTTCCGGGCGGTAGGTCTAGAGACATTCGTCGGTCTCCTCGTTGCCCATGGCAATGATAACGGGCGGCGACAGCTCCACATCGAGCAGCTTCATCTGCGCATCCTCCTGGTCCAGATCGTCCTTGCCCAAACGCTGCTCCTGCATCTCGATGTCCAGTGTGCCGTGCTGGCGTTGGAACGACAACACGAATATGACCAGCGAGATGACAATGAAGAGCACGGCGGTGCCGGAGCACAGTGCAATGATCAGCGTGGAGCGGCTGCTGGACGCCAGCGAGAGATGGGCGCTGCGCTCGTCGGCCAGATTGCTGACAAACGTCTGGCCCGCATTGTGCGGCGGATAGGAGACGAGCGGCGTTGCGGTGCTGTCCTCGGCTCGGGCCTTCGGCTCATCTGCCGACAGCTCCTCGGACTCCTCGGAGGAGTCCTTGTCAGCGGGCTCGACAGCGCCTTGCTCCGTCTCCGATTCAGCCTTCTCGGCATCGCTCTCATCTCCGCTATCATCCTCGACAGATTCATCAGCCTTAACCGTTTCAGATCTTGTCGGCGAAGCCGTGGAGCTGACAGAGCTTGACTCGCCTCCACTTGACTCCTTCAGATCGGGTTTCTCTTCATCTTCCGACTGATCTGGCTCGCCTTCCGCGGGCGTCAAAGTTTCCTCCGGCAGGGTCACAACGGGTTGGGCAGCCTGCTCCGGCGTTGCCTCCGTTGGCGCCACATAATCCGGTTCGGCGGTGCTCGAAGCTGCGGGTTCTACAGCCAAATCTTTCAGCTGATCTTGAGCGGATGCTTCCGTTGTGCTCTCCGCTGCAGTCTCCAGATTGCGCTCGTCTCTGCCATTCTCAGCTTGTTGCACTTCCAATTCCGGTGCTGACTGCGGCTCAGCCTGTTTTTCGGCATTCTCCTCGGGCAGCAGGTCCTCGACACCTTGCTTTTTGGTCACCTGATGCTTGGGCACTTCGAATGTGGGCTGTGGCGTTGTTTCCACTTCGCGGAATTCCTCGTGCTCCCGCTCCAGGGCTAACAGGTTCGTTTTCGTTATGGGCTGCTCGGTAATCGCGCGATTCTCATCGAAGATCACGGCCACCAAATCGCTGGTCACACTGGGCAGCGGTCGGCTCTCTGCTGCCACCGGATTGATCTCCGCCGGAGAGCTGTCAACTAGTGTGTTCGACTTCAGGGCATTCTCTGGTTCCTTAGCTTCCACAGACTCTTGAGTACTATCCGACTCGGAGTCGATCTCAGTTGATTCAACCTTCTTTACGGCCTCAAGTTCGGACACTTTCTGTTTCTCCTCAAGCTTGTCGCTGTCCTCAATCTTCTCCACATCCGTTGCCAGAGTTTTCGGCTCACGTACACCTTGAGCTGCATCTGGAAAGTATACGCCTTTGAGCACCAATACACCACGGCTTATTCCAAGCGTTAACCCACCTGTTTGCTCCTCGTTGTTGCTTGTTGTCTTGTGCTCGTCCTCTTTGTGGTCAACCTGCAGCGTTTCCACCAGACCAGAGGCATCTGCTTCGATTTCCGACTCCACCTCGCTCTTCACCGCATTGCGTATGCCCTGCTCCAGTCCCTCGCCGCCCAGCGCCACGAAGCTGGTGTGGGCAAATTCATCGGCAACTTCGGCAGCAGCCGTCTCTTCGGGCTCGGGCTCGGGCTCGGGCTCGAGCCGAACGTTCGTTTCGTTGCCAACAGCGGCAACAGTTGGCTCAACATGGGCTTCGTTCACTGGCTGCTGTGGTGGGTTTAGCGTGGTGACTTCCTCAGCGTCCACTGACGGCAGGGTTGTTGACTCGGCTAAACATTAAATTGAATTTCAATAAATTAGATTTACTTCAATTAAGTTGATCTAAAAAGTTATAGTTATAGTAACAATTCGACTTTCTCTGCACTAATGATCCAAAAATCAATTAAACAATGCACGAAATGCATTTTCATATGCATTTTATTAATAGCTCAGACGCAACAAACTTGATAAACATGCCATTTAACCAAATCGTAAACTAATATAACTGCTCGATTGTTATTTTACGATCACGACATCCAGCCAAGCCCAACATGTGTGTGTGTGTGTGTGCCATTATCGCCGTCATCAGCGACGCACATTTTCTCACACATTTCCATTTCAGAAATGTCTTCCCCCTTTCCAATGCAGCTCTAGTATCTAGATATGTCCATGTCGACGTCACGAACGCGCCGCAACCCAAATACTCGCCCGCGCCTCATAACTCAAAATGCGTCCAAGTGTCCACGATGCAGCGATTAAAATTCCAAACACACATATGACAACAACAGCAACAACAACAGCCCGAGGAATCCCAAATTAGTAGCACAATAAACAAAGCAAGGAGAACAGGCAGTCGCCCCCTTCCATCAGGCTGTCGCCCAAAGTAGCTGCTTTATTTATGAGTCGATTGTTCTCTCCCGACACACACACACACACACACACACACACATGCACACACACACGCATGCATTGGCAACTGCATTCGTGGAAGTTGGAAATTAGTTATCTGCTGCCCTGCATGAGATATGCATCGACGGCGGGCTCAATGACCATTTCTATGCCGCATCCACTCGAATCCCTTTGGGAACGCTCGCTACAAAAATAAGAACAACAAGAAGCAGCAGCAGAACGAAGTGTCTAAATGTCTTAAAATGGGACAAAGCATGCGGCACAAACAAAAACAAAGACAAATTCAAGCCCAAATGAAATGGCATTTACAGAAAATAAAAGAAATCGATTTTGGTGCCTGCTGCACCGCCCGCTGCTGCGGCTGCTGCGGCTGCTGCGGCTGCAGTTACCCAAACCGGAGCAGTATCATCTGCCCGTTCCAGTCTACATGCGTGTGTGTGTGTGTGTGTGTGTGTGTGTTAGGAAATTATCTTTGTGTGCGTATCGAGCTGGCCTCATGTTGTGTGGCATGTTCTTGAGGTGGTAAAACATTCGTAGAAAACATATGTTTCAATATTTGAATGTGGAAAACATGAAATATGTCGTTTAGATACGATTTACATAGATTATTTATAAGTTCTAATAATCTTACAATATAATAGCTCTAATAATTGTGAAAGACATTAATTTCCTGTTGATTATTTTCCATTCTTTCACTAATTATATTTTTATATGACAGTAAAATCCTTTTAATATCCCACCTTGATTCTTGCCCCTAAAACAAATTCCCTCCAAAAGAAACCAATTGTGACGCATCGATTCAAAATTAAAAGTTAACTTTTGCAAAAAAAAAAAAAATATGTTTCACTTCCGTTGAAATTCCGTTAGTTCTTAGGAAAATTGTAATTTTTATGCATATGAAAAAGAATTTCCCCTTGCGAACTGCATAACAATATAACAGCATATCGGTTATTGACTTGGCTTTTCAGCATTATCAAGTACTTATACGCCAGGCTGGACTTTTTCTCCGAATAGCCCGCAAAAGGAAGTGAGAGAAATCTAAGTACAATTAAATCGAATGACTAACAGAGGGCAAGCTGAGCTATATGTGTATGTATGTGTGTGTGTGTGTGTGTGTGTATAAGAGAATAGATATGTACGTGGGCTTTGAAAGTGGGTTGCGTAGTTGTCCACGCTCCCTACGCACTGGACTAATATCAATTGTCTGAATTGCTTCATTGCGTTAAGCGCACTGGCTTTAATATGTTTAAATTATCGAAAATTATGTGCGATTATATTTGGGCAACTGAATAACAAGGCAATGGCTACGGCTACGAAATTTCCGGAAACCGAATGGATGTAGTATTACCTTAGCTGAAGGTCATACAAGTTGCGGCTGTCCAGAAAAGTCTTATAATATTAGGCATAACAATAATAATTAGCATAGTCATACCCTTCATACTGCCATCATATGTGCATGTCTGTATGTATGTTACATATATCTGTCTGCCCGAAAAGCGCAATTTTGTATTAAATCGTTTAACGTGTTCATTGAGTTTGATTCTATTGTTCGGCGCGACGGCGGCTGCCAGAAGCTTCTGTCAATTCATTTTTTTCGAGCGCTGCTTTTTTTCTATCGGACTGTTCCCGATGCCCCTCAAACTGTATATCGGGCCGGGCCCTAAAAAGTCCTTATATAACATATATGTATGTTATTTCCAGCAAGTTCGTTGCACCCACTCGCATGTCTTATACGTATAAGAGACAATGTTCGCTCCCCTTCCGAATGCGCTCAATCAAACGCAATTGCCTGAACCGCTCCTGTTGTTTATCTGCGTTTTATCGCGCGAGTTGAACTCGCTCGGCGACCCCCTCAATTGCCATGTTACTAAACATTATTGAACTTTCGCACGCTGTTTAAGCGTTTGGCTTGGTTTGCAATGGGAGGGGGGGGGGCGCCATTTTATGACACCCAAGTCGCAGATTTCGTTGCGGCTTTTGGCGGCGCCTCTTCCGTGGCATAATTACGCGAAATGCATCTTTTGGATTATGCCAGCAACAAAAGCCAAAGAAAATGCAGCCGCAGCAGCGATCCCAACAACAACAACAACTTTATTACGCCAACAGCAAAAGATATATATATAGTGACATATCCATAGTCGCACCCACCCTTTAACATATCTTAGCACATAAGCATAAGCACAATTATAAACATTTCTAATATTGTAAACAAAGAGCCTGGTGATAACATCGACATTGGTCAAGATCAAACTGTCCCCCTTTGGTAGACATAAACAATTCACCCTAAATATCACGCCACTGTCAATGTTCCCATCAGAGTACTATCCCACGCATAATTGCTGACGCAGCTCAAACTTCACTCAATTTTGACTCAAACTCTCTCAAAGCGAAGTTTGCTAAGCGACCGCAACAGTTAGATAAATCAGTTCATATTCGGGAAGCAAATCTGAATGTACTCAACAAAAGTAGCCGTTAAGTGAAAATAATAAATTGAAATATATTTTTTTATAGTAACCTAACGTGTAAAACTTAATTGGCGCAGCCGGTAGGATACGTCGGAAAAAATTAAAGATCGCTAAAGGATAATTAATTCCCAGATCTAACGCACAATCGCGACCGAAAGTGTTGTCGGAGTGTAATAAAAATTTTCTCGAATACGTATCCGCACAAGAACCTTCGGGTCATTAGTAGCTTAATAATATTGACCCTTTGGGCAATAAAGCTACTACAGTTAATAACGACTGGCTTTGCATATCGTTTGATCCCTGCAATACGTTATTACTGAGTCTTTTTAAGACACACACACAAAAAAAAAAAAAAACATTTACACAATAATCCATCACAAACTTTAACTTAAAATAAAAGTGCAAAATCAAAGAACAATAAAGTTCAAACCTACAAACTCAAAACTATTCAAAAAAAAGTGTATTACACCAAGATGACAATGGAATTATCAGAACAACACCTCAACCAGGCCCTTTCACAACTTAGACAGGTGCCAAGCTTTGACGGATCAACGGATCAACTAAACGCCTTCATTAAAAGGATAGATTACATCCTACACCTGTATCCAACCCGAGATGTTAGACAACATAGCATCTTATACGGAGCCATCGAATTGCAAGTCACAGGAGATGCTCAGAGAATATCACAAAGGACAGCAGCCAACACTTGGCAGGAGCTGAGAAACGCATTGATTGAAGAATACAAAGTGCAGACACCATTTGAAGAACTCCTTCGACGCTTATACAACACGAATTACCAAGGAAACGTCCGTAAGTTCATCGAGGAGCTCGAGAATAAATCTTTTGTTATTTTAAATAAGTTAGCACTAGAAAATATACCTAGCAATACAACCCTTTATACAAATGCTATGAATAACACAATCAAAGATGTTATTACAAAAAAATTACCAGATAGGCTTTTCATGATGTTAGCCAGACACGACATTACGTCGACACAAAAACTAAAGCAAGTAGCTCAAAGAGAGGGATTATATGAAAATAGCGTTACTGAAAAACCTAAAAATAATAATGTTCAGGGAAATCCAAATAACAATCGTAGGAACATGGGAAATTATCAGCAAAATGCTAACCCAACCACCATTTCAAGTGGCTATTCCAACACGAATCAGAGTTATCACGCACAAAATAAACAGCATAATAAGTCCGAAGACAATCAGAAAGCTCACCACGAGTTCCAACAGAAATTAAGTCAAGGTAGATACCAAAATCCCTTAAACTACCAAAATCAGTCCCATTCACGCTTGAATGCACCAAACCCTCCGACTAAACGTCAAAGAGATAGTAACAGTGGGCAGATGAAAATGGATACATCCGAAAATTTTCATCAGCAAGCCTCGGAACAAACAGAAGAAATCCATTCATAAAATTGATTATGAATGACGAAGTTCTAAAATGTGTCATCGACACAGGTTCAACCATAAATCTAATGAAAACAAACCGCTTAAATTTTCCAGTTTACAACGAAACATTAAAGGTTCACACCATAAATGGTGTTATTGAATTAAAACAAAGTATACGATTAGGAGCAAGCAAAATTTGTCCGAGCAAACAAAAATTCTATATTCACGACTTCTCAGAGCATTATGATGTTCTGATTGGGAGAGAATACCTTGAGGCATGTCAAGCAAAAATAGACTATGCACAAGGATCCGTAACCTTAGGAGAATTTAACTTTTGTTTTAGATATAACGACGAAGAGGTCGAAGAGGACATGACCGCACAAGAGTGCCTTGATCCACCCTCAACAGAGGACAGACCATTTAACTTCGCTATTAATAATGAATTAATAGAAAACAATGAGTTTAGGCTAGAGCACCTAAACTCAGAAGAAAAAGAAAAAATAAAAAAAGTTTTACATGAATTTCGTGATATCCAGTACCATGAAGGTGACAATTTGACTTTCACTAGTACAATTAAACACAAAATTCTAACAAAACATGAGGACCCAATTTACAAGCGTCCATACAAATATCCTCAAATATACGATGAGGAAGTAAATAAACAAATAAGCGATATGATAAAACAAAATATCATACGTAAATCCAAATCCCCTTACTGCTCACCAGTAATAATCGTTCCAAAGAAAAACGATGCATCTGGAAAGCAAAAGTTCCGGTTAGTCATAGATTACCGCAATCTCAATGAACTAACTATTAATGATAAATACCCTATCCCGATCATGGATGAAATATTAGACAAACTTGGAAAATGTCAATATTTCACAACCATTGATCTAGCCAAAGGCTTCCACCAAATCCAAATGGATCCTGGTTCAATACCCAAGACCGCATTTTCGACTAAACATGGCCATTACGAGTACACTCGCATGCCATTTGGTCTTAAGAATGCACCTGCAACGTTCCAACGTTGTATGAACAATCTCTTAGAAGATTTAATTTTTAAAGATTGTCTGGTCTACTTAGACGACATTATTATTTTTTCCACTTCATTGGAGGAACACATTTTGTCGCTACAAAAGGTATTTAAGAAGCTTAGAGAAGCTAACTTAAAACTACAGTTGGATAAATGCGAGTTTATGAGAAAAGAAACTGAATTTCTCGGTCACATCATCACAACTGAGGGTATAAAACCAAATCCCAACAAGATACAAGCAATTGTCAAATTCCCAATTCCAAAAACCCCAAAAGAAATTAAATCATTTCTAGGATTATGTGGTTTCTATAGGAAATTTATACCAAATTTCGCTAATATAGTAAAACCATTAACACTTAAATTAAAAAAGGGAGCAAAAATCAATATAAAAGACAGAGACTACGAACTAGCGTTTGAAAAGCTAAAAGTACTCATAACATCCGACCCAATTTTAATATACCCTAACTTCGAAAAACCATTTTCATTAACTACAGACGCAAGTAATATGGCAATAGGGGCCGTCCTTTCGCAAGAGCATAAGCCTATATGCTATGCAAGTAGAACTCTCAACGAGCATGAGTTAAATTATTCAACGATTGAAAAAGAATTATTAGCAATCGTTTGGGCCACTAAATACTTTAGGTCCTATCTTTTTGGTCGACAATTTCAAATCCTTAGTGATCACAGACCACTCGTCTGGTTAAATAATATGAAAGAACCTAACATGAAATTACAAAGGTGGAAGATCAAGCTAAATGAGTTTGATTTCCAAATTAAATACGTCCCAGGAAAAGAAAATTATGTGGCAGATGCTCTGTCCAGAATTCAATTAAACGAAAACTTCTTAGGCGAAGATACAATTAGCACAAGAGCAACAATACATAGTGCTCAAGAAGACAACAGTAACCATTTACAAATCACAGAAAGACCACTTAATTATTATAATCGACAAATAGAATTTGAAAAAGGAACCGAGAACGAAACAAAAGTTACGAATTACTTTCACAAAACCAACATAAAAATTACGTACAAAGACATGACTAATACGCATGCCAAAGAATTAATAAAAGAATACTTATGCACAAAGAAAAGTGTGCTATACTTCCACAACGAAGCAGATTTTCCAATTTTTCAAGAAGCCTACTTAGAAATAATAAGTCCGAATAATTCAACAAAGGCAATGAAAACTAGTACAAAATTAATAGACCTTCAAACATATGCAGAATTCAAAGAATTAATATTAAAAAAGCACAAAGAATTATTACATCCAGGAATTGAAAAAACTATCAATTGGTTCAAAGAAACCCACTATTTCCCAGATTATCAAAATTTAATTCAAAATCTAATAAATGAATGTGAGATTTGCAACATCGCAAAAACAGAACACAGAGATACAAAATTAACTTTCGAAATAACTCCGGAAATCGCTAATATCCGAGAAAAATATGTAATGGATTTTTACATAGTAGGAGATAAACAATTTTTATCTTGCATTGATATCTATTCAAAATTTGCATCATTAATAGAAATAAAAAGTAGAGACTGGCTAGAAACCAAACGAGCTATATTACAAGTGTTCAACCAAATGGGTAAACCCATCGAAATAAAGGCAGACAAAGACTCAGCTTTTATGTGCACAGCTTTACAATTATGGCTAAAATCAGAAGCAGTAAATATTAATATAACCACTAGTAAAAATGGTATATCCGACGTAGAACGATTTCATAAGACAGTTAACGAAAAACTAAGAATCATTAACAGCGACTCAGACGTCGAAAATAAACTTACAAAATTTGAAACTATACTCTACACGTACAATCATAAAACAAAGCACAAAACGACTAACAGAACACCAGCGGACATATTCATATATGCAGGTACACCAGAGTATGACACTCAAGCTAATAAAGAAAAACTAATAAATAACCTCAACAAAAAACGAACAAATTATGAAATTGACACTAGATACAAACACTCACCGTTAGTTAAATCAAAGACGACAACCCCGTTCAAGAAAACAGAACTAAGACAAATCGACGACAAACATTTTGAGGAAACTAACAGAGGCAGGAAAATAACACATTACAAAACCAAATTCAAAAAGAAAAAGAAGACTAATCAAAGCAAATATAACAATTACAGGTCAACAACAGACAGCGATCAAAACATACAAGCACCAGCTTAAATTAATTATTATAATATTACTATCAATAACTGTAAACCATATAAATGCACAGAGTATTGAAATTAATCCTATCAAAGCCCATAACGGATATCTCATATTTAAAACAGGAACCATAGACATTCCGACAGATTACGAATTCCACTGTTTAACGGTTAATATAACAAAAACCGAAGAAACTTTTAACAATTTAATTGAACAAAGTAAAGAATAATCAATAACCTTATACAAATCGAATACCTAGTAGAGAAATTAAACAGAGAAATAAACGGCTTAAAAATAGCCAAACGTAGCAAAAGAGGTTTAGTTAACATAGTAGGAACAGCATATAAATACTTATTTGGAACATTAAATCAAGAAGACAAAGCAGAAATTGAACAAAAAATAAGCAACTTAGCAGAAAACAGCGTTCAGGTTAACGAATTAAATTACATAATAGAAGCTATAAACAAAGGAATAGAAATCATGAACGAACTAGATCAAGAGAAACAAAAAGGAAAGAAATTAGATATCCTTATATTTAACTTACAACACTTTACAGAATATATAGAAGACATTGAGATGGGAATGCAGCTCACAAGATTAGGAATTTTTAACCCAAAATTACTAAAACATGACTATTTGTTGCATGTTAATTCTGAGAAATTGTTGAATACAAAAACTTCCACTTGGTTTAAATCAGATACAAACGAAATACTGATAATATCCCATATTCCTCGAGAAATAATAAAAAGCCCGGTATTCGAAATAATTCCATACCCGGATGAAAATAATAATATTTTGACAGAAATAGCTCATGAAAAATATTTTACCCAAGATAAAAAAGTTTATAGCAGAGAAACAAAAAAATTAATTAATAATGAATGTTTAACAGGAATTTTAAACCAAATAACATCAGAATGTAGTTATACTAAAATTTTGCAAAATTTTCAAATCAACTACATAGAACCAAATATAATTTTAACTTGGAATTTACCAAAAACTATATTAAACCATAATTGTATAAATAACGAAATAACAATAGAAGGAAACAATATAATAAAAATCTTTAATTGTTCATTGCAAATTAATGAAATTTCAATTTCAAACAATATGTTAGATTATACTCAAAGCATTTACGTAAGCAATGATGTTATAAAATTAGAACCACTTTCGTTTGTACAAACGAAACAAATTATAAATGCACATACAAAATTTAACAATGTATTCCAGATAATTACAATAACCATATTTGTAATCATATTAATAAGTTTAACACTGTATTTGACATATAAGTTCAAAAGCATACCTAAGAAATTAATTATAAAATATAAAAAACCCAAAGTAGAAGAAACACCTACAATAATAGGAGATATACCAATTGTAAAAGAAGAAAATGTTACACTATATCCAAACTTAAACACCTGAGGACAGGCACTTTTCTAATGGTTGGGGGAGTGACATATCCATAGTCGCACCCACCCTTTAACATATCTTAGCACATAAGCATAAGCACAATTATAAACATTTCTAATATTGTAAACAAAGAGCCTGGTGATAACATCGACATTGGTCAAGATCAAACTGTCCCCCTTTGGTAGACATAAACAATTCACCCTAAATATCACGCCACTGTCAATGTTCCCATCAGAGTACTATCCCACGCATAATTGCTGACGCAGCTCAAACTTCACTCAATTTTGACTCAAACTCTCTCAAAGCGAAGTTTGCTAAGCGACCGCAACAGTTAGATAAATCAGTTCATATTCGGGAAGCAAATCTGAATGTACTCAACAAAAGTAGCCGTTAAGTGAAAATAATAAATTGAAATATATTTTTTTATAGTAACCTAACGTGTAAAACTTAATTATATATATGTATGTATGTATGTGTGTGTGTGTGTGCATGATGAAGTAGCTGCAAGCTGAAGAAGATGAAGTTGGCGTGTCTGATACGAGTACTTACAAGTCAGTGCCGAGCACAAAGTGGGCAGCGCTGTCAGCGTCACGAGCAGCAGCGACAACAACAGCAGCGACGACGGCGACAGCGATGCGGGGATATGTGACCTGTTCCTGTTATAACATCTGGCAGGAACAGCTTTGCAGCTGCCCGATAGATGGCTCTCAGCGTTGGCCATGTTGAATTGAGTGATTGATGATTAGCTTGTTGCTCCTTGATAAAACTGGCCGGCTAGCACGCACACCGTATGTCGAAGATAGAGCGGAAGAGATATGTGTTCTTCTTCTGCTCTTCTGTTTTCTTTTTTTTTTTTACACTTTTATGTCCGTTTAACGTTTTCTTTAAAACTTCGTACACGCAGCGAACCGAACGCGTTGGCCACTCGCAAAGAACTAAAGTTGAGAACGCGTGCGCTCTGGAATTTTGTTGCCGCTGCACACACAAGACTCTGTCGTATATTGATGACGCTGACGCTGACGCTGACGCTGACGCTTGTCGTGTAGGTCTCTGTGCGCTGCTGCCCGCTGCCTGCTGCCTGTTGCCCCTATAATACCGGACTGCCTGGCAGATCCATCAACATGGGCGAAGCTGCCTTGCATTTATTTGCTTTTGGATAATAATAGGGCATTGGCAGGCATACGGCTTCTGCTGCTTCTGAGTGGGTCTCACTGTGTGTGTGTGTGTGTGTGTGTGTGTGTGTGTGTGTGTGTGTTTGTTGTTTGTGTTGGTCTGTCAAGTGGCTAGCGCCATAGAATTCGCCCCTTGGGCAAAACTTGAGCGTGGGGCGAATTTGTACGAACATTTTTCGCCCGACTTCAGCTAATGTACTTCACATTATCATCATCATTATCAACATCATCATGACGAAAACCCTACTCAGCTGTGTAGGTAGCCAATTTGCTGTTACGCACTTCTGGCCGGACTCAGCCCCAGCCGGAGCCTCTTGTATTCTTTGCGGGACACAATACAAAAGAAAACCCGACACAAAGGAGAGCAGGAACAATAGTTAAAAAAAAAAAAACAAGCTTGAGCATCAGCTGCAGCATGGAAAGTCGAGGCAAACACGAACGCAATAAATATGTGAAACACGTGAGGCACAAACTCAGCTCATGCGACATAGTATATAAATATATGTATATATATATATATACATGCATATATAATGTGACGTCGTACGATATCTGTTGATTCGACTAGAATGGACCTATTTATTTGCCTTAACTACAGTTAATGATATGATCACAGAACGAGTATTAAATCCATTTCGAAACGATTTCCGTATTAACCAAGAGTATGTCAGTTGCAGAGAGTATTTGAGTTTTGGTCATGAATCATTGCAGTATTCTCTATTCACACTCATCATATTTATGATCCGATCTAAATCAGACAGTTCAAATCCATCAAACTTGTTCTCACTTATGTCTGTCTACAAATAATTCCTTGATATTTCTTCAAGAAATTTCTACCCTTTACTATTTATTATTAAATAACTATATCACTTATATGAAAGGGTATTTAGTCTTCGGTGCAGCCAAAAAAGATTGTTTTGTTAAAATAAATTAGCTTGTAAAATTGTGTTCTGCTTCTATCCAATACAATATATTTTAACTCTACATTCATGTTCTTGATATCAATTAAATTTGTATCTAAAATTAAATAATTTGATGCAGTCAAGCAATTCACACTTAAGAGAAACCCCATGGCAATAGTTTGCTATCGTCAATTCGATAACAAGATAATTTTGTTGTGTATCCATTCGGATTATCAGTGACAACATCTACTCAGGGGCGAATAACATACATATAAGATATACGCGAGTGACAACTGCAACCGCAACATGACAAACTACGCATAAGCCACACTTCACATATGTCACATAGATATATATGTATATGACAGATTGCTTACGAAAATATGTCTTAAAACAATTACAAAAATAATGCATTTGGCAAGAGTCAAATCTGTGGCCCAAAATCAGGCACGTGCAAATTGAAGAAATCATAATTGACAAGCATGAAAAGCTGAGAAGATGAGCTGCAATGCGAACAGCTCGAACAGTTCGGTTCGCGGCGAATCCAGCTCAAACCTCTATCAATGATCTGATTGGGGCTGTTTCGTCGCATCCAACGGTTGTTCAAGTTCGCTTACCTCGCAACAGGCGAGGGGAGGGTGGGGGGATGCTCTCTCTTACGCTGCAAACTGATTGAAAGGCCGGTCCATTGACTGACGGGCTGCCTGCTCGGACAGAATGCCCAAACAAAACTTCTCGCTAAGCTGTCGACAATGACGACGACGGCGACGACGACTCGTTTTGGAAAATTATTTACATATATATGCAGCTGTAGATGCATCTATACACTCAGAAAAATAAGCATGCTCGAAATACTAATTTAAATGAAATATATTTAAGTCTTGAATAAACATAGTAATGCTAGAGATATGAGGCTTGGCCTAGTTATAAGAAAGGACATTAAAAGAATTAGTATAGTAGAAATAAAAGTTTAAGTTCGAAAAGAAAATTCTTGAGTTGTGTTTTTGGGAATTTTGGGATTTAGAAAAAGGAAAAGATACTTAAGCCTTGACAGTTTACAGCAAAACTCTCTTTGTTTTTCTCCGAGTGTACACACACACACATGTACACATATATATGTTAGGTAGTTATATATTTTTTTTTCTGCGGTTGCTGTTGTTTTTTTTTTTGTTTGTTTGAGTAGGTTTTCCTTGTAACATTTGCCGTTACGTGATGGGACTCGGGGGAACTCGGATTCGGATTCGGGCTGGGACTGGGACTCGACTTAACTCGACTCGACAACTTGTCGGCCCACTGTTTATGTTTTATTAATTATGCCAGCAGCAGCAGAGGCAGAGGCAGCAGGTAAGCCCGTGTCGTGCCATGAAGATTTGACTAATGTGAACGAGCGCGCCTTCAGCTTCAATTTAGTCGTTAAATATTTAGATTTCTTTTTTGTGTTTGTGGCTCGGCCAAGCAACAGGAAGGAATCAATTGGCTTCCCAACCCCCTCCCCTCTCCCCTAGCGAGACGAAGCTGGCGACGACTGACTTCCTCCAAAGGCCTCACAATATTCCTTTTGTTGTTGTGTTTTTTTTTCTTCCATTTTTTTTGCTTGCTGCAATTTACAATCGGAAATTGCCGACGGCGCGCTATAAAATTGCCGTGTGCCTTATGAGTCAGAGCGCCGCGAGCGCAACAGGTAAACGATTCTTGTGGCAATTGCTACCTGCCCTGCCCTGCCCTGGCCTGCCCTGCCCTGCCTTGTAGTTGACTTGGTCTCATAAACACATTAAGAAACAATTAGCGGCAGATTAGCGCAGTGCTTGGCCATTTTGCTCTATGCTCATTATTCGCTGAGCGGGTCTTTTCCCAAGCGGCATCAATCGCTTTCGCTTTATTGCCCTCTGCAACTGATAAGCGGCAGCGCATTATGTATGCACACACACACACACATGTGCATGCATGCATGTGTGTGTGTGTGTGCATGTATGCGTTGTTCGCCGCAGCTCTTTGACTTGCGGCGATAACCAGACAGAAGGGCTAACTAGACACGCACACACACACACACACGCGCATAAGCATGCATGCATGTGTGTGCGAGTTCGCCGCAGCTCTTTGACTTGCGGCGATAACCAAGCAGAAGGGCTAACCCAGGCCGGAAATGCAAGACTCGAGTCGCTTTGTCTGCAGCTGAAAATGACCAAAAAAATACATATACAACTGTACATATATAAATGTATGTCTATATATATATATATATAAGTTTATCGGACAAGAAGAGCACTTAAAGTGAAAAGTGAAATGTCAACTCATTGTCCCAGGGAAAAGTTGAACAAGCCTTTGATTAGTGGCCGCCATTTCGGTTCACATTATGCACATAGTTGAACAGCATATCGAATTTCGAATTTCGGACATCGAATTTCAAGTTCAAAGCAAAGCTCACAAAATGCAGTCGAAATCAAACGAAAAGCGAAAGCATGTCCGTAGTCTACATACTCTATCCATATCCCAAATAAAATATGATCACATAAATAAAGCAATTAGAATGTAACAGTTTAAAAATGAAAATATTAAATTAATTAAATTTATAGTATTTGCTAGAATAAATTGTTGTTATTTAAACAAATTTTAATTAAAGCAAAAAATTAAAAAATCATTTAAAACAAATATACCCAAGTAATGCTTGTCTTAAATAAAGTTTGCTTCTCGCAAATAGAATATTTTATTAAATGAAAAATGACATCATTGGATTCGCAAAAAAGCCAATGAAAGCTAAAGTGTTCGTTCAAGAAAGGGTACGCTTTGACGTAAAGAAAATGCGAACTAAAAGTATTATTAATAAATACTTTCTGAATGAACTCAAAAATGACGACTTCAGCAAATAAATTGTATGTGTGAATATGCTCTGTTATGTTCATACTCATCAGATTCTTAAAAAACAGTTCGAGACTTCTGAAAAAGTATGATAATACACATAGTAATACAATGTGAACTCATATATAAAGCAAGGATCTTGTATTTCTGGACGTATATGTAGATCGTTGTCTAGATTATGAATATATATGAATCGGAACTTTAATTGAAAAATTGAACAAATATTATTTCAATATATATTTTTTGAATTTGTCGCATTCAATTGACTGAATGTAGCACATTCTATAAGAGAGAGTGATAATACCTCCTGCGGGTAGTGTATAAAAGAGGCTCGAGCAAACCAAATTACGTCACATAATTACCACAGGTGTGAGTAAATATGCGCATATTAAATGAAGAAAGACCAAAACAAACAAATTTGGCAACTGAGTGTGCTATAAAGTGTACATTACGGAGAGTGTAAGTGCCTGTTACATAGAATCCATTAGGCGAAAGAAACAAAGAAAGCCGCACAAAATCCAACAAGGTGATAAAACGTAGGCTTCAAGTGGCAACCGACTCACTCTCTCTCTCTCTCTCTGTCGCTCTCTTTGCCCATGGCCTCAATCCCTATTAATTGCTGGCACTCGTAGGTTTAATTGTCAAAACTTGTTGTCAACTGTTTGCCGACTGAGACGCTGTCAGCACGCGTCAAACTTGGCGGATGTGTGTCACAATATTTAAATTTGTAAATTAGCGTAAACTGTTTTAACGCCAAAAATTACCCGCAACGGCCGCCGGCCCCGCCCCTGGGCTTGCCCAATGTAATGTAATGTATGTATGTACATAAAATGTCGGGGCCAGAGCGAGCACGTATTTACCGTACGTGCGAGTGTGACCAGTCATGCAGCGGGTCAGCAGGCTTTAGTGGGCCAGTGGGCTGGTCTCATTCATCCCGTTTCCGAACCTGGTCCCATTGACGAAATTGAGTTGGTCTGGCTTGTTGTATATGTTTGCACACTCGTACGAGTGTGTGTGCACAACATTTTACAACCCCTTGCCAGCTTGTTGACGCGTTATTAAAAAGCCATATAGACAAACAAACAAACAAACAAGCTGCCAGCAATGAAAGCTTTCCAGTCAACTGTTGTGAACGATGGGCGATGAGTGGGCGGTGCAGCAGACGTTGGTGGGAGACGGGCAGCGTCGTCGATTGTTTTCAAGTATTTAAGTACACACACACACATACACACAAGCACGCACTCTCACATATATGCAGTAGCCATACAAAGCTGAGCATGGGCTGTCTTGGTCCTAAATAAGCAGACGCTCTGCCTCCGCCTCTGCCACTGCCGCAGCGACGTCGCTGCTGGCGCAGCTGGAACTCTGCCACTGCGATCGGCGCTTACATTAGGCAACAGGTTATTGCAATTCAGCGAAAATAACGGCGACCGAGACGACAATGCGACGTGGTGGAAGCCAAGCCGACAAAATATAAAAAATATATGTATATATATATATGTGTAAGTAGCTTCCAAAAATTGAATACACTGCGCCAAAATTTCATGCATGCGCTCAAAAAATGCAAGCCACATACATGTATGTGTGCAATTAAATGTGCCTAATGCCAGGGAAATTTGCATTGAATTTCCCACAGAGCACACAGCACTCCATTGTGTCGGACAGTGTAGCAGGGTTTTAAACTCAACTAACTTAAGACTAAAATTCTATTTTTAGAATATTAATATTAATTTTTATTTAGCCACCCTTAAGTTAGAAAACTTTATTATAAATTTAGATATTTGTGTATAAAAGTCAATGGGAAAAGTTTGAAATTCCTATTTTTTTTTTAGAATTGAAATTTCCCATTCTGAATATAACTTAAAAAATTTAATTGTTACAAAATGTCTGAAGAAATACAAGGGACAAGGTATAAGAAAAATCTTAAAGAGCATTTTTAAACTCTGTTATGGACTAAATATGCATTTGAAAAGTAATTAAAAGTTTAAAAAATTTTCTATTAATTATAGAATTGGCTTAAGATTCTAAATAATTGAGCTTGAATTTTTTTCTAGTGTTCGTCTAAAAAATGTTGTTGACCAGTGTAGCTGAAGCGTTGACACTTTCTGAGCATAGGCTCCCTTTCAGTGGCTTTTGCCATAATTAAAAAACTGCCATGGCATTTTGCCAACTCATTGGACAGGGGCAGGTAGTGGAAAGGGGGAGAATGGGTGGGGAGGCTAATTGAATACAAGTATTAAGCGCAGTGTAGAAAAGTAGACGCTCAACGCTCGAAGGTAGCGCGGCGTCCGGATGCGCCGCACAGGTAAGGCACACGACATGCAGGTGGCTTGGCTTGGCTGGGAGCTTGGCGCTCGGCGTGAGTAACAAGCCCTGCGACTCGACGCTCGGCGCGCAGTCGATAAAACACATTCGAATCGAACGTTCGCAGCGCGCGCGAGACGACGACGGAGACGACGGAGACGGAGACGACGGCGGATACGGCGACGACGGAGACGGCGATTGCAATTCTCATTGATATCCATTCATGCGAATATATATATATATATATATATATATTGCGCGTGCTTTTCTGTTATTTGTTGTTTTTGTTTTGAAAGTTCCGGCCGCACTTTCTTTCGATCCTTTGGCTGGCTTTCATTTTCGCCCGTTCGAACCGGTTCGTGGCTTAACCGTTTTATTACCTAATCCCGGTTTCATGTAATCGCCATTCTGGCAGCATGAGATCGCCGCGTCTGGAGCTCGTCATGCTGGCCCTGCTGCTGCCCCAGGTGCTTGCAACGATACGACACTCGCGCGAAATTATTATCACAGATGCGGTAGGTGCTGCGGCAGGTGTTGGACAGTTGCTGGACAGAGGTGGGCACAGGTGGGCTTTGGGGCAAATCCCAAGCTGTGTCGTGTGCGGAATTTCTAATTAATTGAATGTCACAACGCACGCGTCGCGTGGCCTCCAAATGTCAAACAATAAATGTGCCAACTGTGTGCATGAGTGTGTGCAGGTGTGCCAATGTGTGTGTGTGTGTGTGTGTGTTTGGCAAGCTAAAAGAGAGTGCGTCTCACTTCCTGGCCATGTTTGTTCCTCGACTCGTTGCAGGTGCGTCGCATCCAGCACGACGGCTACAACGTGGAGCGGCACACGGTGATAACAAAGGATGGCTACGTGCTGACCCTGCACCGGATACCGCAGGTGCAGCTGGAGGCGAATGGCACGCTCTACACGGTGCTGCGACGACCTGTGGTCTTTCTGCTCTCCGGCCTCTATGCCTCGTCGGATGTGTGCGTAGGCTGATGATCAACCGCCTGATTCGATGCCAACTGATATGTTCCGTGCATTTTGCAGGTGGCTGCTCAACGGGCGGGAGGATTCGCTGGCGTATTTGCTGTGGCGCGCCGGCTACGATGTGTGGCTGGGCAATAATCGTGGCAACATCTATTGCCGCCGGAATCTCTGGCTAAATACGACGGAGCGTGAGTTCTGGAACTTCAGCTGGCACGAGATGAGCGTCTACGATATGCCCGCCCAGATTGACCATGTGCTGCGCTCCAGCGGCGTCTCGAGCATGCATTTCGTGGGCATCTCGCAGGGCGGCACCGTATTCCTGGTGCTCAACTCGTTGCTGCCGCAGTACAATGCGGTCTTCAAGACGGCCACGCTCCTGGCGCCGGTCGCCTACGTGGACAATACGCAAAGCGGCTTGGCCAAGATCATTGGACCGATATTGGGCACACGCAATTATGTCTCCAAAATGCTTGAGGGCATTGAGATGTTCTCGACGAACAAGTTCTTCAAGAAATTTCTCTCGATGACCTGTCTGGACAATGAGAAGCCTTTGGTGTGCATTACCCGGCTTTGGCCGGCCGTTGGCTATGATACGCGCTTTCTGAACAAAACCCTTTTGCCGGATCTGATGGCCAATTTTCCGGCGGGCGGTTCCGTCAAACAGCTGATGCACTACTTCCAGGGCTATGTGTCCACCAAATTCCGTCAGTACGACTACGGCCCGGAACGCAACTGGCTGCACTATCAGCAGCTCGAGCCGCCGGAGTACCCACTCGAAAATGTCAAAACTCCGGTCACTATTTTCTTTGCGGAAAACGATTACATTGTGGCGCCGGCTGATATCTGGCGCCTGGTCGCGCGTCTGCCCAACGTGGAGGCCGTCTACAAGGTGCCCCGAAAGCGCTGGAATCACTTCGATTTCATCTGCGGCCTCGGCGTGCGCGAGTACATCTTCGACAACATTGTCCTGTCCATGAATCGATACGAGCTGCGCCGCCGGCGACGACGACGCTGATAGAAACTAAATGCCAGGCAGCTGGAGCCACAACTTCTACTAGTGCCAAATACTTAGAGCTTAGTATATATGTTATATTTAGTATATATGTATTATGAGTCCATGGCTGATACCCAAGTTGTTAGCTGCGGATATGCGTACTGATTAATAAATATTTTATTTATAGTTGCGATTTAAAGGCCTTTCCCTAGAAAATCCGAAATTATTTCATTTCATTTCATTTCACTTCAATTCATTTTATTTCATTTCGTTTCATTTCATTTCATTTCTTTCACTTCAATTCATTTTATTTCATTTCATTTCATTCCATTTCATTCCATTTCATTTCATTCATTTCACTTCGTTTCATTTCATTTCATTTCCCATAGATAACAGATTTTTTCTCCTAAAAATTTCATTAAGCTCTCCCAAATAATAGTTCATAGGATCCTTATCGTACAGGTTCTTCTGGATACCTTTTATTTTTATACCCTGGATCCATTGAACATGGGGCATACTGTTGTGTTGGAAATTGTATGCAACATGGAGGATAGGGAGCTGACTGAACTCCTTTTAACAAATTTATGTAACAGGCGGAAGGAAACATCTGCTAGTATATATATTCTGAATCTATCCAAGTCCGTCCATCTGAAAAACTTTAAAGACTCTTCAACCATATCTCAGAAGTACAAAGTGAATCGGCCTTATGAATAAGATAAGTAATATTGACGAATATCGGCAAAGAAATCCTCAAATCAAATCGTGTTGACTAAGAACTATAACTATAATAATATGCTGATCATGAATACACATACTAAATTTAGTCGGCGATGTTATCCTTTGTTGATTGTGCACGCTTCCTCCTTAAATGATCCTTTACTAAAGATGAGCATTATTTAAATGAATAAGTGCTTTTGGATTATCGTCAATCCATTGAAATGATGCGAGTTTTGGAGTTGTCTGTTTGTGGTTTATCTATATTTACAGGCCGCATTGATTTGCTTATTGAATCCTTCTCTATGCTATTTACACAATTTGTTGCCTAACTGAGTGTACTGGTGCTTATCTTGAGCTCGATGTAACGATGCAGGATCAGCGCCTTTTTGCTCACAATCGGGTGGGTTAGGGTAAGCAGCAGATTTTTGGCCGCCTGAAAATCGTTCTGCAGTGCCAGAGCCACGGCCAAATTGTATCGTACAACGTTCTGGGCGGCATCCAGGGACTTGAGCTGCCAGTCACGTGTCTCCAGATCCAAGGCATTCAGCGTGCTCACAAAGGTCGGCTCCAGATGGTCGCGTGCCTCGCCGGATCTGTCCATCATCATTAAGGCCTCGCCCGCGTACATGTGGCCCAGCAATCTGTGGGGCAAGGCAAAAGGAATTAATATGTACTCCGAAATAGAGAATGGAGTCGCGTACTTGTGTGCATCGGAGAGACGTTCGCTCTGCAGCAGCTGCTTGGCCATTTCCAGTGCGGTAACATGGTCGCCCAGGCGCAACGACACAAAGCTGTGCGCCGCATAGATGGCGGCCAGCATGTTCTCCAGCGATTCGAGGCTAATCGGTTTCGATGGGTTGCAAAAGTTATTGTCCTGTTGCTGGCTCCACAGCTGCTGTGCCGCATCCTTCTGTTCCAGCGACTCCTCCGGCGAGTTGGCCATAAAAAAGTTGGCCTTGTATTGCAGCGTTAGGGTGAGAGCGCTTCGCAGGCACAATGCGGCAAATTCAAGCGTCGGCTCTGGCACGGCTGTCGAGTGAGCTCTGCGGGAATGACAAATGGTGAGCACGTCGTTTCGAAGGGGGGAATCGCTGGCTACTCACCCATATGGCTTGGAACCCAGCGAATTCATGACATTCTCTATCGTATGGCGCTCCTTCCCGAGTAGTTTCTGCTAAGTAAAGCATGAAAATCAACTGAAGAAATGATTCAATAAAGTACGCTGCATTACCGCCTCGTGCTCCATGATGCAGGCTTCGGCCATGCGGAACCACAGACGTGGATTGCTGTGATATTGCTTGACGGGCACCAATAGGCAGTGGAACGCCTCCTTGGGTCGGCGCAGATGCAGCATGGCAATGCCCAGATTGTACATAATCTCGCACGAACGGGCCGAGCTCATCGTCTGCAGCGTGCTCTGCCGCAAATTGGCCGCCAGCTGCTGATCGAAGCGCAGCGCATTCTGGAAGAACTTGGCAGCAATCGCATAATGGCGCACACGCAAATGGATGACGCCCATGTTGTTGGCGATGCACGTGCTCAGCTGCGGCGTCACGGTGCTGAAACGAAACAAGGAGTCAGATTGTGGATTAAAACAGCTGGACCAGCTGCTTACCCGGCCTGGGTGCACTCATCGTTGATGCGCATCAGCTGCTTGGCAGCCATCTGGAAGTCTTTCATGATGTAGTACTGCTGCGCCTTGAGCGCCGCAAATTGCGGCGTGCCATCCTCGGTTATGACGACGGGCTTGCGATTGAGCACGTGCGTCAGCAGCTGCAACAGCTGCAGGCTGCTGCCACTCTCGCCCGCAACGCGCGTCACACTGTTCTCCAGAGCAGGCGGCGCATTCGAAATGCCCGTCGACCCAGAGGCGGCGGCAGCTGCGGCTGTTGTTGTCGTCGCCTCATCTGGGCTGCCGCTGGGACTCGGACTGGGCGCACTGGCCACCAGATTTAGCTTATACTGCAAGTAATCGAGAAATGCCTCGGCACGATTCAGCTGATTGGTGGCCAGCAGCAGCTGCAGCTGCAACGTGGCAACCAGCGCGGCCATTTGTTTCTCCAGCGCCTCCAGCCTGGCCACCAGCGGCGCCAGTCGCTCCAGCGCCGTGCCGTACATATGCCGATGGTAATAGATCAGCGCCTTGTTGTAACGCGCCACGGTCAGAGCGCTGCCCGCATGCTTCAGGGAGATGCCGCCGTTGGGCTCGCCCGGCGCCGGCTTGGAGTCGGGCAGCTGTTCCAGTTCCTGCAGCAGCGCCTGATGCTGCGTGCAGCCGCTCTTGTAATAGTTGACCACCGCTCGATTGTGGCGCAAAATTAGAGCGCTGCTCTCACCCTTCGTTTCCAGCTGCTGTAGAAGCTCCAGGCAGCGGTCATATTCGCAACTGTTGGGCGGGAAATTATAATAAAATGAATGTGCACATGCAAATGGTGTGCGGCACCTACTTGTTGAACTGTTCGTGAGCCTGGCAGAGCAGATTGTAATTTTCATCATCGCTGTCTTGCGTTTTTGTCGGAGAATCCGCAGTGTCCATGCCAAAAATAAAAAACAAAAAAACCAAAAACACACACATGACAACCCTATACACACATGCAGCTATATCGGCACTATGGCCGTCTCGCTCGCACGCCTCTTGCTGCAGCCCTGCGCACAGTGGCTGCGCCAGCACAACGCACGCACGCACGCAATAATGCACGCTCCACATTTTTGGCAGCATTTTATGCAAAATCTATTTAAATTATTGCAGCAACGTTTTAAGCAAACAAAAAATATACAGGTCTTTGTCAAGTTATATGCACAATTTTGAATAATCGAATTGATCAAAAACTACCAAATATTATCATTCGATAGCAATTTAATTGTTGACCAATTCAAAATTTAAAGAGTTAACCAAAAGGCAGAAATTTTATTTATCTAAAATCAAAGTAAACCCATTTTCGAGACTTTCAAATGGATATTAAAGAATACAAAAACAGTTGCTGCCATAAAAATATAATGGGAACTTAAGCGTGGATTGAAAGGCTGAATAAGTTTGCCCATGATCAGAAATTTCCCCTTATTTTAGGAATTTCAAGAAATCGAATCTTATCAGCAAATGTCTGCTGCATAAGTTCCCGGCTTTTGCGATAGATCAGTTTACGAAGCTTTAACACTTACCCTAACACTTTACGGAACATCACTTTTTTAAAATTTAAAATATATATACATAAAACTTTTTACACATTAGCTTTTGTTAAGTGTATATTGTAATGTGATATTTTCTAAAAAAAAAAAATAAAAAAAAACACACATCTCGAATAGCTTTGCGCTGAGTGCTAAGGTTTAGAAAAAAGGGAATTTGTTTTTTTTTTAGTAAAATACATGTATTATTATTGGAATTATGTTTAGGTTGATTCGAAGTACAATACACATATTAATTACTAAAATGATTCAAAAAAATATTCAGTAATTTGCAAAACAGTTGCAACTGTATAATTATATATAAATGTATTACTAATCCATGGAGTTGGAGGGTAACTTTTTGCGTTTGCTGTTTGCAATTTCAAACTCAATAATTATTCAAATTTCATACAACGACTAAGGGTAGGGAGATGGGGATGGGATTGGTTGATGGGGGAGGGGGAGAAGGACTGTGCTCGCACGCGGCTTCGAGAAAAAGTCCATTACTGAGCGTTTGTCCTGGCCCAATTGACGGGCCACGGAATGAGACGAGGACCAGACCAGTCAATGCCGGAATTATGCATGTATTATGTACACTATTAGGTAAATATTTTATATATATATATGTATGTATATATAGTATATTTTGTATTGTATGTATACCGTTGCATATAAACAATTTAATTTAGCAATAAAAAAATCCCAATAGTTCAACTAGAGCGCGCTCAACATTAACGGAGCCACAATGTCCGCTTGCTTTGGCCAAAGAAGCGGCTGCAGTTGCCGTTGTTTTCATTTTTTTTAACATCTATTACTTTGTTGGCTAAGCGCACACAGATACACACACACACACACACGCACAAACACACACACACATACAACACACGGTCGGATTTTGCCAAATCGGTTTCGTAATCTTTCTTTCTTTCCTTCTTAAGTTTTTTGTTCGTTCGAGTTGTTTCTTCATTGCATTGCTATTTGTTGCTATCTCCTGGTCATCCGCATCCGCATCCTTATGTGTTGCGTATCTTGCCGGGCACATAGTTCTTGTCGATGACATTCTCCTGCAGGAACATGTGCAGGCAGCGCTCGTTCTGCGCCAGCGGATGTCCGGCTATCTTATTGATGAACGCCTCCAGGCCCTTTCTTCGCTCCTCGATGAAGTTCTCGTCAAAGAGACCCTCATCGCCGCGGAATGGCATCTGTCGCTTCCAGGCCTTGCCCGGCAATGGCGGCACCACAATCTGCAAAAATATATTTTGAATTGCGTTTGCATTAAATACACAATATTCGTTACCTTGCTATCGCGTTCCAGCTCATTTCTTAGCCATTCAAAGTCGCTGTAGCGACGTCGCACGCTCGACTCCTTCACCTTGAACACCGGCAAGTTGGTCTGTCGCAAAGTAAAAATATAATTATTATTTACTTAAAGCTCATTTAATTCAGGCCGCTTTCAAATATATATATGCACATACATATATATAGCACGCATATCATATTTTCATATCAGCGCATGACTCAAGGGTATATTAATGCTATCCGAAAATCGGGCACAAAGCGGACGCACACAATGCAACCCGGAACGCCTATTGTTATACCCTGCATGCCAATACAGAATGGGTATACTTGGAATGCCTACGGTATTTGTTTAGTTTTCTTCAATTGGCTTTTCTTCATGTTTAGCTCAGGCAACTCAGACAGGGTATCTGCTAGTCGGGCACTTACGCTGCAACAATTTTGTTGTGACTAATAATTATCGCTTAGCTTTAAAGGCGTATCAAGCACACACAGCGTCCACCAGCATATATATATATATATATATACTCTCACACACACACACACGCATACGAACAGTTACTTTATCAACAGTTTTGGCACTTTTTTTTTTTTTTTTGCAAGCTCAGTCCGCTGTCATTTTGCATACATGTTGCACCCCACCCCGCCAGCGACCCCTAACTGTGGATGCTGTTACTCACCCTCATGCGCACTTCGTAGTCGGTGTAACGTTTCTTGCCCGCCGCCATGGTTGTCAACGGATTGACCACGTCAATTTCGAGAAAATTTGCGGGCACAGCATACGCATCGTCCAGCGTTTGTTTTTTAACGTTGAGACGGCGTGTAGCGTCGGCGGTGCCGTCGGACTCAACCATCATAATGCTGCAATCTGCTGCTGCTGCTGCTGTTGCTTACAGAGTATTAGACGCAGGCACGCCCCTTTTGTGGTCAGTCTCTGCCACGAAATGCCGCAGCGACCGCTTTGGCTGCAATGCAAATAAAATAAAGACACACACACGCACACGCACGCACACAAGAAACGAGTTTTTTTGTATTGGTCGCACGGTTGTGTAGCTGTCGTGGTCTTTGCTGCCTAGCTCTATCTCTTTGTGTGCTGCCGCTGCAGTTGTTCTGCTTTTTTTTTATGCGGGCGGTTTTGATTTATCTAGGTAAGTGTAGCGAAATTTCAATAGATATAGCCACTCTCAGTGTTAATTGTACACCATGTTCGTTTTATACCGCATTTGGTCGTGTTGCCAGTTGTTAACTAGTTTAATTTAATTAATTGTACATAAAAATCACTTTCTACGCTTAATTCAATAATGACACTAATGTGACTAAAAATGCCAGCATAGAGTTGCTTCTGGAAAACCAGGGATGTATTGGACCGATTACTAGTGCTGCGCAACGAAATCCAGATAAATACTGCAAAATACGGTCACACGCAAAGTCATGTGACGGCACGTGACGTCACAATAAATTCTACACAGTTTGACCCGTGTCAGAGTGATTTTTCTTCGTACTTGCAACGACGTCGCAGGCCAAAATTTTGCGTGTGTCGCTCAGTATTATTTGAAACGGAAAAATTGTATGTTGTAACGCCAACTTTGATTGAAATGACGCCTAGCTAAAAATCATGGATTCTAATTAAAACCCATTCGTTTTGTTTGCAGCTCGAAATTTGCTGTGCACTTTTCAAGGTAGAAGCAGTTGCGTATAGACAGAAAATTCATTCCGCAAAATGAACGCCGCCCAAGCAACACGGGAGCATGTCCTTGCTCTTACCCGGGACTTCATCTCCCAGCCACGCTTGAGTGAGTACCCAATTGATATTCAATTATGTGACAATAGTGAAAAGTGCATTTAAAAAAATTGTGTTTTTGCTGAACCACAAACAGCAAGGGCATTCGGCCGCCATGACAGTTTGTACGAATCGCAGGCGAAAGCAGAACACGAAACAAAAAAATCAATATAGTGTTTTTTTCAACGTTCCCAGACCCACCCATTCGAATAAACACACACGAAATGTTATAAATATTTTGTTGATAGAACTAGGTTTCCAGCAATGCCAATAAGATCTAGGAAATTCATTGCTAATGAAAATTTTTCGCTGTCACATGACTCGATCGCCGAGCTCAGCTGTTTGCTATTGCCATTCAAAGCGCGCAACCAGAGAGCACCTGACTTGCAAATGGTTGGGCAAGCGACGCGCAAAAGAGAAACAAGCTGCTAAAAACAAATACATTTGATTAAATAGAAGCTATTAGCTATAACTAATATGTTTATAATATAATTGTACGGAATGCCAGAGTGCAGTGATAAAGATTTATTGATTGTAACGTTTGATTGTTTTTATGTAACGCTCATTTCGCATTGCATTTTACGCTGTCTTTCGTTATCGTTTCTCTTTTGCCCAATATGCAGCTTGTGCCTGACACAGCAGCTGCTTAACGGCAGTTTGCCAGTCAGCTGACTACTTAACCCCCAAAGACTCACTATGATTTTTTGACGTTCGCTTTCTTATCGGATTCTTATTAGCAACCACTTGTGTGCCGCTTTGCATTCATGTGAGCAGCGTTATTGTAACCTAAAAAGATGGTTACAAATGAACAAAAAAAATTAATTTTTTTTTGTGTTTATTTTTCTTTGTTATCTAAATAGCGTACAAGACTGTGTCTGGTGTGAATGGTCCCCTGGTCATTCTCGATGAGGTGAAATTCCCCAAGTTCGCCGAGATCGTGCAGCTGCGTTTGGCCGATGGTACCTGTCGTTCCGGTCAGGTGCTGGAGGTGAGCGGCTCCAAGGCCGTTGTCCAGGTCTTTGAGGGCACTTCTGGTATTGATGCGAAAAACACGCTATGCGAGTTTACCGGCGATATTCTGCGCACGCCCGTCTCGGAGGATATGTTGGGCCGTGTGTTTAACGGCTCTGGCAAGCCCATTGACAAGGGTCCCCCAATTTTGGCTGAAGATTTCTTGGATATCCAGGGCCAGCCCATTAATCCCTGGTCGCGTATCTATCCCGAGGAAATGATCCAGACTGGTATCTCTGCCATTGATGTGATGAACTCCATTGCCCGTGGTCAGAAGATTCCAATCTTCTCAGCTGCTGGTCTGCCACATAACGAAATCGCTGCCCAGATCTGTCGTCAGGCCGGTCTCGTCAAGCTGCCCGGCAAGTCGGTGCTGGACGATCACACTGATAACTTTGCCATCGTGTTTGCCGCTATGGGTGTGAACATGGAGACTGCACGTTTCTTCAAGCAAGATTTCGAGGAGAACGGTTCTATGGAGAACGTGTGCCTGTTCTTGAACTTGGCTAACGATCCAACCATTGAGCGTATCATTACGCCGCGTCTGGCTCTAACGGCTGCCGAGTTCTTGGCCTATCAGTGCGAGAAGCACGTGCTGGTCATCTTGACCGACATGTCCTCATATGCTGAAGCTTTGCGTGAGGTGTCTGCTGCCCGTGAGGAGGTGCCCGGCCGTCGTGGTTTCCCCGGTTACATGTACACGGATTTGGCCACCATTTATGAGCGCGCTGGTCGTGTTGAGGGTCGCAACGGATCCATTACACAGATCCCCATCTTGACTATGCCTAACGATGATATTACCCATCCAATTCCCGATTTGACTGGTTACATTACCGAGGGCCAGATCTACGTTGATCGTCAGCTGCACAACAGACAGATCTACCCGCCAGTGAATGTGCTGCCGTCTCTGTCGCGTTTGATGAAGTCTGCCATCGGTGAGGGTATGACACGCAAGGATCACTCGGATGTGTCCAATCAGCTGTACGCTTGCTACGCCATCGGCAAGGATGTGCAGGCCATGAAGGCTGTGGTCGGTGAGGAGGCTCTGACGCCCGATGATTTGCTGTATTTGGAGTTCTTGACCAAGTTCGAAAAGAACTTCATCTCGCAGGTGAGAGGAATCACAGAAACATATCTTAATTAACATATATACTGATGCTTGTTTGTAATTTTGCGCAGGGCAACTACGAGAACCGCACTGTCTTCGAATCCTTGGACATTGGCTGGCAGCTGCTGCGTATCTTCCCCAAGGAGATGCTTAAGCGTATTCCAGCCTCCATTTTGGCTGAATTCTATCCTAGGGACTCGCGCCATTAGATTCTGTTTAAAATTGTTTTGTTTTTGATTTATGTCCAAAATTTTGTTTCATTCATAATTTAAGCTGGCGGCGCAGCGTGCGGCGCGCCCCCTTCTGCAATAATCCGCTGTATATGCGTCTATATATATATATACATACATATATACACATTAACTACAATATAAAGCACGAAACGGATATTAATATTGTAATATCTACGTATAAAAATATTTGATTTGTGTATACATAGAGAGTCGAAGCGCAGCCTAAACAATAACTAGTTAAATATTCTCTAATCACTAAATAAGCGGAAACTATTTTAAATATGTGTGTGTTTTAGTAATCAAAAATGTTTAAATATCCTCAAGTGTACATAAACTCAATTAATTGTTCTCTTCTATTCACACTTTAAAGAAAAAACAAAACATGAACATTCACCTTGAAATTTTGTTGCCGACACATCGAACATTTGTTAAAGTTTAACCATTTTATTTGTTAGGTTTTAAGTGTGTGCGCTCTGTAAATTGTTTATTATTTCTTGATCATTATTGAGTTTTGAAATTTATTTCTTTTTTGCATACTGAATCGTAGCATTCCAAACCAAATTCAACAATGCATATTTTATTTTTTATTTTATTTTATTTCGCTTGCTTCGCTTACGCTCTTATTTCGTTTCGTTGAACTTTAAGATCTTAAATATCAGTTCGCACAAGTATTATACACGTTCTCCCCATTTTCTGGACCCGCCCCGTTCCTCGCACTCTGTTCCCTGCACCCAACTATGTGAACGATTTGTACAGCAACTAAACAAAACTAAACAATGAAATATTAAGTGCAAAACTGCTTTAAGTGCAACAAAATGTTTTTAAACAAAAATCTATAAAAAAAAAGAATACATATATATATAATTATATTGATTATTTGTTCGTTTATTGTCCTAAAGCAAATAGAATGTTATCCAAAGTTGAAAATATGCATAGAAAATGTTGTTTGTTGTCCGTGAGAAGGGTTCGTCGGCCGTGTGAATTGGAAAGGGATCCGCAACAGTTGCATTTTGTTACTGCCAAAAATCTGTTTAGCAGCAGCAAGAACAACGCAAATTCAATAAATTTGTCAACACAAACTTATATTTAAATAATATTAATGAGCAAAATTTAATTAATAAATTATGCAAATGATGAGTTAATAAATTACACAAAATTGCATGTTATATATTCATTCAAATGGAAAATAAATCTACTATTACATATTGAATTCTGCTAAATGATTCCGTTATACATTAAAGACGAAGTTACTCTAGAAAATGCTGAAAGAATTCTCCATTGCGATTCCATTATGTGAGGAAACTCACCCGCTCTTGATCTATATTCTCTGGACCTATGTGATCTATGGTAAATGGAGAATGTATGATGTCTTATTATATTTGGTTGTGCTTTAGGGACATGTATTTGCTGACCTTAACGCTACTCAGGGAAAAACTTTCCGTAGCCTCTATTTTGACATAGAAGAAGGCAGAGGCATAAAGTATATATATTATTGAGCAGCAGCCATATCCCTCCGTCCTTCAATTTCTATGCAAAGAAGTCTGTTGCAGGATGTACATGTGTCCGAATCAGCCACATTGGAGCAGGACAGATATCTGTACCAGCTTTTTCTTGGGCATACTTGACATTTACTAGCCTCTCTATGCAATTCTCATAAGCACAAAATCTTATCAGCTTCGGTCGGAAATATTTTTTTTGCCTTTCATATTTTTATTTAGATTTCTTTATCATATAGCTTCCACTTGTAAGTCATATGTAAAATGTAAGGGTATTAAGTGCTCGGCGTGCCTTAATATCCAATAGGAATTTCTCTACACGTAGCGAATGCCAATTGGAATGTACGATTACCGTTATTCCTATTCCTTATCGTTGTCTCTCATTTTGCTCAGATTCTTGAATGCTTTTTGCTCTTTGGTCTGCTTAGTTACAGTTTGAACGTGCCGCGTGTCTGTGCCTTATTTGTTAGAACTTAGACAGAAATTAAATTGAAATAGAATGCGTCTTTTGAGCACTAAGTTTATTGGAAGCTCCGAGGACGAGGAAAGCGATGAGGAATTGATCGAAAACGAATCGAGCGATGAAACAGAGCAGTCCGATGACGAGGAGCCGGAGAAGAGCGAACATCCATTCACGGCTGACTCGCAGTCGAACGATGAGTATAGCGTTGAGGAGGAGCATAATGGCGAGCATCCGTATCCCACGCCGCCGCCAGATGCGGAGGGGAATAATTTGCTGGGCAACGGCCTTAAAAAGATAACAATCAAAGACTCCAAGCCGAAGACGGCAAAAGAAACAAAAACCAATATGGCGGGACCAAAGAAAACCAAGCCCACAGCGGAGGCCAAGAAGGAGCCAGCGCCTGGACCGACAAACGTGAACAGTTCCGCCGGCTCATCCGAGCCGGTTGTGTTGAATGTGGCCAAGAAGGGGTCCATACTGGCGCACTCTCTGACAGCCATCAGGGCATTGAACAGTCGCTCCGGCTCCTCGGTGCTAGCCATAATCAAGTACATGAAGTCCAACGGCTACGAGGTGACCGATGCCCGGCGCATGGCCAAGTCTGTGCAAAGGGCGCTCAAAATTGCCGTTGCCAAGGGCGAAGTGGAGCAGGTGAGGCGCTCGTTTAAGTTGTCGCCGGCGGCCAAGCTTGCGTCCAAGGCCAAGCAGAACATGAAGGCCAAAAAGCAAAAGAAGTTGGCCAAAGAGAAACAGCCCAAATCGGCGACCAAGCCGGAGTCAGAGAAGACCGAAAAGGCCAAGGCGGCGCCGCCAGCTGCTGAGGAGAAGCCCGATAAGCCGATGCAGCGCAAAAAGAAGGCGTCGGAGCGTTCAACAAATGAGGTTCGTATATAATAGACAGCAATAGACAAATCTCCATGACCGAATCCTTGTCATCCTTGTCAGCCGCCCAAGAAGAAGGCAAACGCCAAGCTGGCCGACGCTGCGGGCAAGGCCAAAGCAGCTCAGGCCGCACTCGAGGAGGAGTCCACTAAGCCCAAGCCAAAAGCTAAGCCAGCGAAAACTGCCGTGGTCAGCCCAGATGTGATTCCGACCAGCGAAGAGACGGCAACGGCCAAGTCGAAGGCGCCGCGCAAATCGATCGGAACTCTGGCGCAGAATACGGCCAGGCCGAAGCTGCAGACCAAATCCATCAAGAAGCTGGTGTCGGGCAAAAGAAACGTTGACGAGGTGGACTCCGGCCTAATGGATTCCGTGCCAAATGAGGCTTCCACGCCGATCGCAGCGGTCAAACAAAAGCGCGCGGGCCGACAGATGAAGTAATCGGAGCGAATCGAATATCAAATTTGATTTAAGTTAATTCACGGTTTTCCTTTTGTATTAAATGTTTTTTACGTTCTTACTTTTAAGTTTTGAGTCCTCGTTTATCAATATATTAATGCACACTTTTAAGCCGACCCGAAGAATAAACTATATATACCATCGATCGGAAGAACTGTGCTTCCCTTTTGATCAGGCTACTTTATGTAGTTCCGTCTTTTGTTACGGGCAGCTCATTTCTTGGAGATCATTATATATCGAAAACAAACTCTTTATTTGAGCATAATAAGCCAAATCCTGTCAACATCAGACTTCTATGATATATAGCTTCTGCAGGGACTATCCTAAGAGATAGCCAGGGATTTCTTGAATATCCTCGGTATTTAGAGTTCGATCCTTATGCAATTCTCAAGGTTTTTCTTTGTAGTTTTTATCTGTATATACAATACGAGAAACTATCTGTTTCTAGCTATAATTTAAATTTATGCTTAATGTTAAAACTTTAACAGGATAACATCATCATTGGCAGTGCTATGTTATGTTATAACAGTGTCGCCATCTATGTTAATTATAACAGTATGCTATGCTTTATAGTAGATATCGACAAGGAAATAACATAGCCAGGGCTACCAATGATAATGTTATCCTATTACAGAATGGCGGCATGGCAAGCAGTTCATTTGTTTAAAGGGGGCGCGAATTTGAAGTCAGCGATTTTTCAAATTTATTTAGAACAAGCTAATAGTAAGATTTATCTTGCATGCCTTTTTTTAAGAATTAAAATTGTGCAATTGTTATTAAAATTGTCGAACAGCTAAAAACTCTAACGTGCGAGCTGAACATAGACGGTGCTAAATGGCTTGTCGACCGGTTCGAGCACATCGTTATTCTCGCCTGGCACCAATTGTTGGAAGGGCTGCGTATTGAATTTGCCGTAGTGCAAATTGAGCATGGTGAATGAGATGAGCGACACCTGGGGCACCAGATCGAGCGGCAGCAGGTGCTCGATCTGGTGCCCCAGGTGTCGCTCATCTCATTCACCATGCTCAATTTGCACTACGGCAAATTCAATACGCAGCCCTTCCAACAATTGGTGCCAGGCGAGAATAACGATGTGCTCGAACCGGTCGACAAGCCATTTAGCACCGTCTATGTTCAGCTCGCACGTTAGAGTTTTTAGCTGTTCGACAATTTTAATAACAATTGCACAATTTTAATTCTTAAATACATTGTGTTCTGCAGCGAAGTCGAGGAGATGCCCTCCTTTGGATCGCCGGCAAAGCTCTTGAGCACAACATCCTTGACAATCTGCCAGGTGCGCGAAAAATCGGCCGTCTCAATGTCCGAGTACTCCCAGGAGCTGTCCACACTTGTGCAGAGCGTGCGATCGGGCAGATCCGGCAGCGTGCGATATTCGTCGTCCACAAAATTCACAAACGAGGACTTGGTGGTCTTCAGGAGGCGCAGTCCTTTGATGCCCGTAAAGACTGTCGGCTTGGAATCTGCAAGGAGCGAAACGTTATAAGGGATATCTGCTGGCTTCTCATCATATTTCCACGTACCTTGTCGTGTAAGGATCACGTCGCAAAAATGTTGCGCCGAGGGCTGCAAGATGAAGGCGTGATTGTGCAGCTGGGAGCTGTCGCTTGTTCTGGGACAAGCGCTACTCTCGCCCTGCTTGGCGGCGTCATCCATGCGCATGCGCTGCCAGGGCAACGTATCCATGTGCACATGCACCTCCTCCACGTGCGCATATGTGCTAAGAATATGCCTGGCCACGAGCAGGGCAAACTTTTCAGGAATATCGATGCCATGCTTCTTGGCCAGTACGAAAACGAGATTCTTCTGCGCATCTGTGTCCACAATATCCGCATTGTTGCCATACAAATAGTCCTTGCTGCTGCTCAGCTTCAGGTGTGTGCTCATCTGGAATTCCTGAATGCTGTGCACCGAACCGTGGCGTTTCACATACATCAGCTTGAATGCATCCTTGCCATAGCCCTTGTTGAGTATTTTGTACCTTTGACCTTGCTCCGGGCCGCCCACCTCTGGCCCCTTCTGGCTCCTGATCTGCCGCAGTGGAGTCGCAAACATTGCTGACAGGAATCAGCAAAAGATATTCAATAACTGTTCAAAAACAGCGAAACGCACCCATTTTATACTTTACTCACATTTAGACTCTCATTTTCGTTTATGGTCTGCACCTATTGAAAATGCGTACAAGGGGTATATTGGTTTTGTGCAGACGCATGTAACAGGCCGAAGAAAAATGCATTTGCGACCCTATAAAGTATATACAAATTCATGATGACCATCAATAATCATCAATAGTCTAATCATCTAGATTATCTAGCCCCATCTAGCCCTGTTCGTCTTTATTGAGGCGTCGATCTCAGAATGGAATGAAGAATCTCCTGGTGCTTGGATAGTATAAATTAATTTCTGACGATGATGATGAGTCATATAAAGTGAAGGAAGTGCAAGTAAAAAATGTAAAGCTAAGCAAGCGGGCGCATCGTTGTTGGTAGCAAAATGTCTAGGGTATCCCTGAGTCGGGCACTCGCGCATTTGTTATTTTTTAGCTTAAAGGCTTATGGTTATATCTTTGTTGATAAGAAAAAACTTCTTCGAAAGCACAATTAAAAAATAGTCGCGTTTATGTATATGTTGAACTTTGTTATACATAACTCTGGGCAGATAAACAATTGTTTACATTTTGCTTTTGCCGGGCTCAGGAAGAAATTTGAAATGCCTTTAAAAAAAAAAAAGAAATGAAGAAACAAGATAAAACGTCTAGGTTTATGACTTTGCAGATATGCGAGGAGCGCCCTAAAGCTGGTAATTTCTCAGTTTGTTAAAGATATTTTTCAAAAAGAAATCTCATACAAAAACTCTTTTTTGATCTCTCACTCTTTCTAACTGTCTCTATACCTCTCTCTTTCACACACTCTCTATATCTCTCTCTCTCTCTCTCTCTGTGAAAATTCATGTAAAGGATATTTCACACTTTACCAAAAATAAACCCCCTTTAGATGGAAAATGTCAACTGGAAAACATTTAGCAAAAATCTTCAAAAAACAAATTCACTTGAGACGTATTTCACGCTTATCGGCGTATTACACTTTTGCTAGACGGAAAATGCAGGTCAAAGTGAACAAAGTTTTCTGTTATTAGCAAAATATGACAAGGGGCTATGAATAAAATTTACTATAAGACATTAGAGAGTTAGAAATCTTTTTGTTGCCAGCTGTGTTTACCCCGCGTCGTCTTAGTGCCATTTAACTTAGGTAAAAACAGTAAAACGCAGATATCTACATTTAACATAAACAAGTACACAGAGAGAAAAAGTCAAGCATGTCGTACTTGAAACAAGAAAAACCAATCATAAAATAACGTAAAAAATTCTTATTTTAAAGCTGATATTTTAAGTAAAACTAGAAGTTTGAGAGAAATTTTAAAACAGAAATTATTTGCTAAAATAAAAATCGGAAAAGAAAGAACTGTTATACTGATTGTAGAAAACTTTTGCTAACCAATTCTCAAAGCTAGAATTGAATTTTAGTATCTAACGATTAGTCATGACACAAACCGCAAACGCTCAACAAAGCGCTGCACTGCTTACCACGCAAATGAGGAGCATCTTCTTTTTCCCACTGTTTTGTCAAGATTTTACCATACAGAAAGTCCCTGATCCCTAGAAATAAAGGTTTGAGGACTTTTCGAAGACACACATAAACATATATAAATAAATGGCTCCAATAACAAATGGACTTAATTTAAATTCAATAAATATCGAAAATGCTTCCCTATATTTGCCACCTATCGATATTCTTAGATAGATTTCCTGAACCAAGTTTTACATTGAACTGTAATTTTACAAAATACAATTTCTTATTATTTTCTTAGAGATCGACTTCTTGTCTTGATCTTGAACAACTAAAAGAAATATATAAATAAATTGCTTAACACATATTAATATGGGTAAATCATCAAAGGATAAACGAGATATTTTTTACCGATTAGCCAAGGAGCAGGGATGGCGCGCCAGAAGTGCATTCAAACTGCTTCAAGCGGACGAAACGTTTAATTTACTCGAGGGTGAGCTTTTCACCAGCCTTTTGTCAGAAATTGTTTTATATTTATGTTAAATCTTGTTCAGGTGTAACACGTGCTGTGGACTTATGCGCTGCCCCCGGTGGCTGGTCCCAGGTGCTGTCCAAGCGTTTGTACGAACCGCGCACGCCCGAGGAACGGGAGCAGGTGAAGATCATCGCTGTGGATATGCAGGGTATGGCACCCATTGATGGTGTCACACAGTTGCGCGAAGATATTACCAAGGAGGAAACAGCGGAGGCAATTATTAAGTTTTTTGATGGCAAAAAGGCGCAACTGGTCGTCAGCGACGGGGCTCCAGATGTTACGGGCATGCACGACTGGGATGCCTATATGCAGGCACAGCTCTTATTATCAGCGCTGAGCATTTCGACCTACATCCTGGAGGAGGGCGGCTCGTTTATGGGCAAAGTGTATCGAGCGGCCAATACCAGCGACGTCTACTTGCAGCTGCAGCGCTTCTTCAAGGATGTGTGCATCTTCAAGCCATCCGCATCGCGTAACTCCAGCATCGAAGCCTTTGTAGTATGTCGTCAGTTCACTATGCCCGAGGGTCATGTGCCATGCAATCTGTCCTTAGAATGGTTTGATAAGCCCGAAGAGGCGTTGAGAAACATCACAGGAATACGAGATTATAAGGTCGTACACTTGCCATTTGTGGCACATCAATGTGAATACGATGCGGATCTCAGCTACGAATTGGTAAAATCAATAGTTATTATTTAAAAAGTTTCAAACAATCATGACTTATTTGCTTCTAGGACGAGAAGTATGAGCAAAAAGACGCTGTACAAAAGCCTCTGACCGCCGCCTACACAGAAGTGCTGGAGAAAACGCGAAGCATGTCCCTGAAATACAACTCCTTCGTTGTGCATCATGACGAAGAGACGCCGCCTGCGGAGCCGAGCACAAGTAGCAAACCTGAGCAAAGTTAGATTGAATTCTGCTTAACTATATTTAAAGTAAATCAGTACCTTAATGATGTTCTACTACCTTAATGATGTATACATTTGCATTGATTTTATTCACAATTAATGCTATTAAAATCTACGTTTTAATAGTATTATTTACAAATGACAAATGAATCATGGATGTGCATTATGATGAAAGTTTTATCGAAATTATGAATTAATAGCTTCAAAATTATTTACAAATGCTGCATGGACAGCTTCTCTGATGGCCTTACGCCATATTTGTACACTTTGTTGAGGCTCTCCGGAAAATCGGGCAAAAGATTATTGAAATTCTCTACGTGATGCGTATGCTGTTCCGTCCAAATGCCATCTCCAGTGAAATGAAATTCCGATTCGATGAGATATAAAATCAGCGTTAAAATCTCATTGTTGCTAAGAGCGTGCACATCGGCGACAGGCAGCTGAAGCTCTTCCATGGCCTCGGCCGCTTGTAGTTGCAACAATTTTTCCTCAATGCGTTTGCTAAAACACAACAAAAACAAACAGATCAAAACGTTGTTGGCACAAAAAGCAGACATCTCTGCTTACATTGGATACAATAGCAGATGAATGTTATTGAAGATCTCGTTGAGCTTGAATCTCTTGCTAAGCAAGTATTCCAGACATTGTTTGACATGCAGCACGGGCACATGGCACCAGTTGGGATGTCGCGACAGCAGATTGCGCAGCACCTGCTCGTCCTTTAGTAGAATGTTGCCCAGATAAACGATAATGTCGCGACCCTTTGTGCGATCCGAGCCGTCACGTGCAAATCTACGAGAGCAATATGTTAAATGATGTATTAATTGATCTACAGCTAAACGCACTTGGCAAAGGTTTCCGAGCCGCAGGATAGTATATGCAATGAGGCGCAGCGCACTTTTAGCTGATTCAAATAGTCTAGACGAAGGCGTGCCTTGTTTTGGTAATGCACCAGGCGTAGTACGCGCGGATTGCTGCCCAGAACCTGAAACTCCTCGATTTCGTTCAAGTCGCGTAGACGCTCCAAAACCGTATCCGGTCCCAGGGTAAGCACTTCGAGACAGCGCAGCACAGCATCCTCGGTAATGCCAAAGGAGCGCACATGCTGCAGCGTCTGCTTAAGACTATCACAAGTGGACATTAGGATTTTTGGCCGACGATAGCCAATGTCCCGTATGTCTTGGCCATAAATTGTGGGTATTTCCCGATGAATGCGACGCACATTGTCTGCATCCGCGTGCAATAGGAAAATATTTTTTCGTATCCGCTCCAAGGGAAACTTAAAGACCGTAGTCAACAGCTCGATAATATCCTGCACGGAGCGAAAGCTTTTATGACGAACACGCGAATAAACGCGCCACATCTTCTGCAAATCAGCATCGTCCATTTGCAGACGTTCGCGCAGATAGGCATTGAGTAAGGTTTGCCTAAGCAACTTTAAGGTGATACTTTCGTCTGCCAGTTGGCCATCGTCGGGCAGCTGGACATTCGTGAAGCATGCAGCCAGACGCTGCGACACATTCACATCGTAGGGTATATAGCTGTGTCCCTTGAGCATATCAATTGGCTTGTTGATAACAGTTATGTATTTGAACAGCGTTGGAATCTTGACATTCTGGAATCCGCATTCGATGAGCACACTATGCCGATTGGATAGCGTTGAGGCGCCGTAATAAATGATCATGGGTTTCGTAACAATGTCATCCACGCTATACTTCAACGATTTCAATGTCTCGTAGGAATTGAGTAGATCCTTTCGCTTGACGGTTTTTAGCTCGGGATGTTTTTCCAGAGCTGCGGCCCATGTGCGATAGTTGCTGCCTTTAACGTTATATATACTATTAGCAAAGAGTTTGCTTGTTTGTGTTGTGATTGCTCACCCAATGTTCGCGCCAAATAGTTGGGATTCAAAGACTCCTCCACTGGCACTTCCAATCCGTTTCCATTTTTAGACTTGGCTTTTTCCTCTTTGCTGGCTGTCTTTTTTACAGTCGTCAAACCACGCGTAATATAGTTTAAGCTGCGTACCAGCAGCAGTGCTTGGTTTTGACTACCACGCAACATTTTTATGTCATTTTAATGCACACTTGGTCCAAACTGAAACGCAACATGCAACAGATGAGATGCAAACAACACTCGATTAATTTCAATAGCAGTACACAACAGCTGAGACAGCCAGTGTTGCAAACGCCGCTTCAAAAAAGCAGTTAAAGAATTAAATATTAAAAATAGCCAAAAGTAGCTGAATAACTTTTTGTGCACATACCTGCCATTAATAGGTTTGCTTTTATTTGCCAGTTTACCAGAAACTAGGCAATCAGTTTAATATATTAACTCTTTTCGAACGAATTTAGCTAGAAACTGGCTTAGTTGGCAACACTGGCCACAGCGCTGCCAAGCTACGTGTGCTGGCAGCGCTTTGAAAATCGCAACGAGTTGGCAGCATCAGAAGAACGCTACACGTGCGTTTTATGCATTTTGAGAGTAATTTTAAACTTGAATAACTAATACATTTAGGATGTCGCTTTTAATGATCAGGTAAGTTCAGTATCAGCATCGCCATTGTCATCACTTATTTCTCGTATATTTCTTTTTGCCAGGAAACCAAAAACCCGCAAGGGAAAGAAAGTGTTGCTAGCCCGTGAGCCGCAGCTCATTGAATCGGCGCGTACAATGTTGTTTGTGGACGGACGAAAATGCGGTGGTCACGTTAAACAGTGCATGAAGGATCTGCAGCAACTGAAGAAGCCGCTGGTTAAAGTCCTAAATCGCAAAAACGACATAACGCCCTTTGATGATCCGTCTTCACTGGAGTTGTAAGTAAATGCACCTCCAATTACAGAACATACGATTTTGATGATTCCCTTTCAGTTTGACCATGAAAAACGATGCGGCGCTCTTCACATTCGGCTCAACTTCAAAGAAACGCCCGGACAATATAATCATTGGCCGGATTTTCGAAAACGAAGTACTTGACATGTTTGAGCTGGGCATTAAGCGTTATCAGGCAATTGCCGAATTTAAAACGGAGAAGATTGGCGCCTGTGTCAAGCCCTGTCTGGTTTTCAACGGCCCGAAATGGGCTCAAACGGAGGAGTTACGTCGTCTGCGTAATTTGTTCATTGACATGTTTCACCGCGAAAAGGTCGAGTCCATACGGCTACAAGGTGTCGAGCATGTACTTAGCTTCACAGTTACCGACGATATGAGTGTACTGATGCGTTCCTATAAGATATTACTAAAGAAGTCTGGTCAAAAGACGCCACGTATAGAGCTGGAAGAGATCGGACCATCGGCTGATTTCTCCATTCGCCGCACCAAGATTGCCTCCGAAGATCTGTACAAACTGGCCAGAAAGCAGCCCAAGCAGCTGAGGGTTACCAAAAAGAAGAACCTCAGCACCGATGCGCTGGGCAATACAAAGGGACGCGTGCACTTGGGCAAACAACAAACGGGTTCCATACAGACGCGTCGCGTGAAGGCCCTCAAGAAGTCGCCGGAGGAGAAACGCACCGATCGCCAGAAAAAGAAGGTGGCACTAAGAGCGGCCGCAGCTGAGGCTTTGGCAGCAGCCGATTGAGTCACAAGCATTTGCTTTAGGTTTAAGTTTAGGTTGTAGTTGCAATAAATTGGTCCAGCTTAAAATATAGTTAATATCGTGACTTAACAGCTAATATCTTATTTACTCTTAGTGTATGGCATTGACAATATTCTTAATGCGACGCGTCTTGGACTCGGCCAAGGCATCCTCAAGCGTTTTGATTAAGTGCACTAAACTGCTGACATCCGTTTGGACCACCAGATCCTTGCGATGCCGTCGCTCATCCTCGTGCATGACACTCAGCTCCTGCTCGCTACGATCGGACGTGTCTATCTCAAGCAGCTCACGATTTTCGTTCTTCGGCTCTGTGTGCAGGTACAGCTTCATTGTTATCACCACGTTCGACTGTTGCAGTAAACAACGAGACGCCGTGCGCACCTCCAGACGCCAGTCCAGGTTGACCAGCCTATAGGCACGTATGTTGGCCGACTTAATGGAGCCTTCCACGAAACTCCGCTTGCTGGTCACGAACTGTTCCAGCACATCAAGCACATCGTCGCCAAGATTAGGAAATATCTGGCGTATGTTCACGTGCTCGCCGTTCGCTCCAGTCTTTGTGGTGACTTGAATAAGCAGCGATATTAATGCCTCCACCGCCCGCTGCACTGCCTCGCTATTCACATTGCCGGCGTACTTCTGGGCCAGCATATCGTAGCGATCCGTGTTGGGTCCGTTTACGAGGTAATCGAACGCCGACTTGCATAGCTCCAGCACTTCGCTGGCCGGACGTTGGAGCAGCGCCAAATGGTCACGTTCCACTTGGCTCAAACGCACAGAAGACATGTTTTTATGCGAAAATCAAACAAAGTATGAAAAACAAAACTTTTTCATACAAAAGGTAAACAAATCTTATTACATTTGCTGATTTTGCTTAATAGTATGCAGCTCACTACTGAATAAAAATCAACCAAATTGCTTGTACTAAATAATCACACTGCTGATGAATTTATGAAAAATTCAGATTGAGAAAAACAAAGGCTTTATAAAATTTATAAAAGTAAATTTTAAATTTAAATATTTAAATACTGTCGTCTTGCTTGTAAATGTTTTACAAAAATTACGCTGTGCGTACCGACCTGCAAGCCGCACTTGCATCAGGTTGGCAGCTCCTTTCGATTTAATCGATTCAATTATCGAATATGTGTTGCGCATCTACTTTGTTTATTGATTGCAGATGGCGTAAACACATTGATTTTAATTATTTATTTATTTAAGCTAGTTGCCACAACAGTATGGATTTCGACAGTCCAGAGGAAAAGGAGTTTCCCGGTTTATATGCATCTGAAGCGGTCGATGCCAAGTCCAAGAAGAGCAAAGAGGAAAGCGATTGTGAGTATATTTAAGACCTAAAAAGGCGCGACAGCAAATTCATTTTATTTGTTTTGCCAGTTAGCGAAGGAGACCATGACAAGCACAGCAAGAAAGATTTGCTCATTGGACGACGGAAGGATAAGAAAGAGAAGGGCAAAGATCGCGGTTATGCTGCTCTAGAAGGTGAAAGTTCGCCTGAAGAAGAGCTGGACACCAAGTGAGTACAATGGAACCTTCCCAGTAATAAAAGCACAAGCTGATTTTTATCCGCACAGGAGTCCCTCCAAGTCAAAAAAGTCAAAAACATTCAAATTTACAAGCTCAAAGAGTAAGGAAAAGCGCGAAAAGTCGCGCGACAAGGAAAAGGAGCCAAAAGGTCCAGAGGAGGATCCTGTGCATAAAACAAAAGACAAGGAAAAGGACAAAGAGAAGGAACGTCACCATGATGACAAGGATCACAAAAAGAAGGACAAGGAGCGCAAGGAGAAGGACAAAAAAGACAAGTCCGACAAAAAAGATAAAAAGGATAAAAAGAGCAAACAAGCGCAGCAAGAGGACAGCATCGGCGAAGAAGAAGTGTTGGCTCTGGGATATCCCATCTTTGGCGTTTCCATCAGTCTGGCCACCGAGCGCTCCCGCTGTCACGACGGCATCGATCTACCGCTGGTCGTGCGCGATTGCATCGACTACCTGCAGCAGGAACAATCGCTCAAGTGCGATCATATTTACAAGGTGGAGCCCATCAAGACGCGTCTGATGCACTACAAACGCCTGTACAACAATCGCGAGTACGATGCATCTGTGGATGAGCTGAATATACCGACCGCCTGTAGTTTGCTCAAATTGTTTCTGCGCGAGCTGCCGGAACCGGTGCTGACCACAGATTTGGTTGCACGCTTCGAGGAGGTGGCCTCGCATCCCAAAGTCACCGAGCAGCAGGCTGAGCTGCAGCAACTCCTCGAACAGTTGCCAAAATGTAATCGCACCCTATTGGCCTGGGTAATATTGCACTTTGACGCAGTCATCCAACAGGAGCGTTACAACAAACTGAATGCCCAATCGCTGGCCATGCTCCTCAGCCCAACGCTACAGATGTCACATCGCTTAATGGTTGCGCTCTTGTGCCACTGCGCGAATCTCTTTCCGGACGTAAAGTTGATAAAGTAAGTAAACATTGACCAGATTAGATTACAGCAACGCATTATATGCCCGCACGCTAGATAGATAGATCTCTTGAACACGTTAAGAAAGACATGAGCGTAGTGCCGCGTAAACGAAATCGTTTTCAGCGAGTTGTCAGCTTTTTGTTAAGGCAGCCATCAAACCGTCAAATAAATTAAGAGACTTCCAAGTAAAATTTGTTGTCTCTTGCAGATATGTTCCTCCACTCACCTCGGCCAGTCCGGGTCTACCCGATACCCCGGAAGACATCCAGACGGAGCTACGGAAGCAGGACAGTCTCCTGACCCAAATCCATAGCGAAATGAATGCGGGCTTCATCAGCAAGAAGCGTGAGGAGCAGCTTTGGGAGGTTCAACGCATCATTACCCAACTGAAACGCAAACTAAGAAGCTGTGAAAAGAAGCAAGAGAAGTCCATAGATGAGCTGGAGGTCACCACCTCGGTAACCTCTACACAACCAGCAGCTCAACAAGCAGTCCCACCAACAGTCCCAACAGCCAACATCAACGAAGATACCGTCGACTCAATGTCCGCGCCGTCGCAAATGAACACCTCGGAACATCAACCTGATGAGCCTAATGCTCCTGCTACCCCACCACCAAACCCGGTTGAATACACCATAGACAAACAGACAGGCTATCTGCTGTTGCCGAAGACGAATCCACAGCGTGACGAGTTGCTTCGGCTGCAAATGGAATACGACGAGCTTATTATCTGGCAAAACGAGCTCAAGGCGCGCATTCTTGCCGAGCGCAATGAGATGTTTCGCTTGAAACAGTTGTACGAACAGGAAGCGCAGAAGCCGCAAGCTGCGCCACAGACCAGTCAGGAACAGCTTCCAGCGGAGGCTGACTACGAACGTATCATTGAGCATTATACGCGCGAGAATGCGTTGCTTGAGCACAAAAAGAAAATGTTGGGCAAGGAGCTGAAAGCGGAGCGGCGGGCCTGCATTGCGCTTCAGGTGGAGCTACGTATGCAGCACTTTTAATTAATGCAAATTTTACTCAGTGTATGTCTATCGAACAAAACTCTAAATGAAATGTTATCCAAATATATAGGAAAAAGCTTAGCTTCAAACAAAAGCTTTCGCGCGCATACTTTTCTGCAAATCAGTTGGCAGCGCCGTTCTGTGCGCGCAACAGCTGTTAAAGCACAGTTACACAGTATTCTCAGCATTTAACCTTGCGCCAGGTTGGCCGAAAGCTTTTCAGGAATAGCTATTGGGATTTTGCAAGCTGCGCAGCTGCCTATTGTTTAGCATAACAATTTATTAAACAATTTTTATATAAAAAAAAAAAAAACAAACTAAAATGTTGAAGCAAGTAACCAAACAATTGGCACTGCAAGGCGTGCGCAACTTTTCGGTCAGCCAACAGGTAAGCCACAAGCTAAATCAAAAGCCGCAGCATTTTGCCTAATCTGTCCGCCAACTGACTTTTGCGGTTTACGTAATGCACGGAAAAATGTTGATCTAAATAAACCGTTGTTTATGCAAGGCACTCAACTAACTTTTTTAGTTTACATTTGAGTTTTGCATTTAACTGTAATTTGCATATTTTCATATTTTGCCAGAACAACTATAAGGTGACCGTATGCGGCGCCTCCGGCGGCATTGGCCAGCCGCTGTCGCTGCTGCTCAAGCAAAATCCCCTCGTTACGGATCTGTCGCTCTACGATATTGTGCACACGCCCGGTGTTGCCGCCGATTTGTCGCACATCGATACCAAGAGCAAGACGGTGGGATTCATGGGCGCCGATCAATTGGGCGCTTCCCTGAAGGGTAAGTGTGTGTGTGAGGGGGGGAGGCTGGGACAATAAGTGAGGTTAGGTTAATGCACCAAGTGGAAAATTTGGCACACATTTTATGAAACGTTCGGATTTTGAGCAGATGCTGTGTGCATGCGATTTGCATAATATATAGAGCAAGATCCGAATTTCTCATGTATATAACTTACGGCTGATAAGCGCAAGTCGTCTGATAAGGGAGACGTCTATTGGTATTCATAACTGGCTTTTAATCAGTGCAGCCACTTATCACCTCTTGACAGTAGCTACTATTTGGAGCATAATACAAAAGATCAAAGTGCCTTTATTTACAGCTTTTCAATTTGTGTCCGAGTCGATCTAGCCATGTCCGTCTCTCCGTCCGTATTTATAAACACGCTAATAAAGCATTTCCCGTTGGATGGGGCTTCGTGGAGTAGCAATATCTCCAAGTTTCTTGTACATTTATTAATCCATTATGTGAATCATTTCTCATAGGTTCCGATGTCGTTGTCATTCCTGCTGGTGTGCCCCGCAAGCCTGGCATGACTCGCGATGATCTGTTCAATGTGAATGCCGGCATCATTAAGGATATTTCCAATGCAATTGCCAAGAACTGCCCCAAGGCTCTGGTCGCTATTATCACGAATCCCGTCAACACCTGTGTGCCAATTGCTGCCGAGATTCTGAAGAAGGTAAACAATGCTTGACAATAAACACAACAAAGACCGAGACTAATTGTGCTCTCTTGCTGCAGGCCGGCGTGTACGATCCCAAGCGTCTGTTTGGCGTTTCCACTTTGGATGTGGTGCGTGCTCGTGCCTTTATTGGCCACGCCCTCGGCGTTGATCCCCAGAGCGTGCAGATACCCGTTATTGGCGGACACTCCGGTGTCACCATACTGCCGGTGCTGTCGCAAAGCCAGCCTCAGTTCAAGGGCAACCAGGATGCCATCGAGAAGCTGACCGTACGCATTCAGGAGGCCGGCACCGAGGTGGTTAAGGCAAAGGCTGGCGCCGGATCTGCCACCCTGTCGATGGCCTACGCTGGCGCTCGTTTTGCCGGCTCCCTGCTTAAGGGCCTCAACGGCGATAAGAACGTTATCGAGTGCTCGTACGTGCAGTCCAATATCACGGAGGCGACATTCTTCTCCACGCCCCTGGTGTTGGGCAAAGCTGGTCTGCAGGAGAACCTGGGACTGCCCAAGTTGAACGACTATGAGAAGAAGCTGCTGGAGGCTGCCATTCCCGAGCTGAAGAAGAACATCCAGAAGGGCATCGACTTTGCCAATGCTTAAGCTGAACACTGCTTCGCAGCTATCCACTAGCCAGTCAATCAGTCAATCAGTCAATCAATCCCCCAATTGTTTCCATCATTAGTTATCATTTAGCCTTCATTTGTGCATTGGTTACTTACTTAGCAAATTTGGTCGTCTTAAGTTGAAAAGTGTAAAGCATTCGTGTGTCCAAAGATTAAACAGCCAAGTGCTCATCATCCTTATAAATAATGTTAACATTTGATTTATATATTTTTTTTTAGAAAGCACTCAGGAATTACAATTAACCCAACTGAGCCGATGCAACCCAAATGCTTTTGGAAAAATAAGTTTTATTGATCAAATAAACCCAGAATATATTCCTCATTCCATCTATAAGAACGCTTCCTTGTCAGAGTCTTAAAAATCAAGAAACATTACAATTTATTGCCGCACAGCAAATCCAGATCAGCTTGAAATCTGTGTCACAGACGGAACGTCTTATCTGCGAGCCCATAAAATAGATTTGTCTTTATAAACAAGCCCATTTCGGGAATTATAAAGTGGAAGATTAGGAACTATAGACATTTAATTTTGCAACAAGTCCCAAGCAATTATGCATGGAAATTCGAATGTCAGAAAGGTATCTACTAGTCGAGCACTCCCGCTTATATTTTTAAAAACTACAATTTTCCCCTTGTTACACCGTGCGAAATGCTCAGCAGCCCAGCTCAAGTCCACATCGCTTGCCGACAATCTGTTCCAGTTAGTTTCGCTCAGTGTATGCGGCACACAGTCATGTTTGCCTGAGGCTCACACACACACACACACACACACATACACACACACACCAATACATGCGCAACCAATTAAGCTTCGTTAAGATCAATTGAAAAACTTGCCCGCATGTCATACACGCCATTTGCCCCGCCCTTCCCCGCGCTGTGGACCATGTCTCTAACATATGTACATACATGTGGACAGACTGTGCCCAGTGCGTACACATTTTGGAATTTCTTGTCGAACCGCAATATGCCTATATGTATGACAATTATACTAGTATATATGTGTAGGTATTAAAGTTTATACAAACTCGAAAGTCAGCGCAGAAATACTTGAGCCATAATTTGAATTATTTTGTGAACAGTTTTTTTGTGATCAGTTTGGGACAGTATTTTTTTTTTTTGATTAGTATTTTTCGGAAAAGTTTCAACCCATTTTCTATGTCTTGAAGCTGGTATTTTTTAGAGGCAATATGGTATTTTAAACTCTTTTTTTTTTTAAGCGGACCCTCACTTCCTCTCACGCTTGTTTAAGGTGACCAGAGAGTGTTGGGAAAGCTTTTCGCCTTGAAAAGCCTATGCTAATCTTTTATGTCCTTTGAGACTAGGGAAATTCAGAAATGCAAATTTTTAGTAATTTTACTACCATGCAAATGAGTTAAAAATATTTGAAGGGAATCAGGAAGGCCATAAATTGTAAGGTTTCTAGTAAGCTTAAACACCTAATTGCAATTGGGTTGCCAGGCGCCGCCTTCAATCAACATAATTGTATTACTATTTAGTCAATTTGATTTCTTAATTAGGCAGCCAGCACAAGGAGGGCGAGTGGTAAACAAGGCACACACGCCCCCAACTTAATTATCGACGATCAAAAGGCAACGATAACAGCACCAAAACAATCAATTGATACAATTTCATTCATAAAATCAGATCGAAATGCAGGCAAAAATCACAGAGCGCTCAAACATGATGACGTCGACAACAACGTCTCCATGTCTCCATCTGAATGGGCCGAGTGTGGCCAATTGGAATGCTCTGTTCTTAATGAAATAATGAGCAGGAATCAATTTCAGACTCGTACTATACAAAACAAATACAATTTTGCCGGCCGGCCGGCGTTTTTCATTTACTTATTGTGCGACTATATTAAAACGAATTGGTAGCTATGGATTTTCCAATGTCAGTTTGTGAGTTTGTAAGCGACCTTGTACAATTTTATTTAATTACAAACAATTAAGCCGAACACACACACACATCGGCCGATGTCAGCCAAAAACGATATGCGACGCCCACAACGACAAAAAGTGCCATAAACTCAATTATAAATTAGGATCAGCGACACACCGAACATAATTTGTTTATTCAATTCATGCATAAAACGTTTAACCAACAGCTCAATTATAGCCAGACAGTTAAGCCTATCGATATCGATATCGATCGATCACTGATAAAATGTTTCGTTAACATTGCAATTTATGTTGACATCCGGATGTGTGTACACACTTTCGTACATTTACACTACTTAATACTGCACTGCTTTATTATTGATTTCAATTACGTAATTCTTTACTAATACGATTTTTCGTTAACATTGCAATTTCTGCTTACATGCTTATGTGTGTACACACTTTTTTACATTTACCTTACCTAATTCTGCACCGCTTTATTATTGATCCCTTTTACGTAATTCTTCACTAATACGTTGTTTCGTCAACATTGCAATTTCTGTTGATATCCGGATGTGTGTACACACTTTCGTACATTTACACTACTTAATTCTGCACTGCTTTATTATTGATTTCAATTACGTAATTCTTTACTAATACGTTTTATCGTTAACATTGCAATTTCTTGTTACATGCTTATGTGTGTACACACTTTTGTACATTTACCTTATTTAATTAATTCTGCACTGCTTTATTATTGATCCCAATACGTAATTCTGCACTAATACGTTGTTTCGTTAACATTGCAATTTCTGTTGACATTCGGTACTTAATTCTGCACTGCTTTATTATTGATCCCTTTTACGTAATTCTTAACTAATACGTTGTTTCGTTAACATTGCAATTTCTGTTGACATTCGGTACTTAATTCTGCACTGCTTTATTATTGATCCCTTTTACGTATTCGTCACTCATACGTTGTTTCGTTAACATTGCAATTTCTGTTGACATTCGGTACTTAATTCTGCACTGCTTTATTATTGATCCCTTTTACGTAACTCTTCACTCGCTGCGATAATCGCGCCGTTTAAGTTATCAGTGGCAGACGCCGTCTGTTTCCCCGTCCACGTGGCACTGCATTAAATGGCGCCTTTTGGCTGAAATAAGTCACAATTGTCGGCAATTAATTTGAATTACGCGCGCTGCGTTGGGATTTTTGCGAGCCGAGCCGACTCCGACCCAGAGCCAATTACAAGGGCCAAAGCCAAACGAAGTGGTTGTCATCTTAATACATTTGAGCTCTATACGCTAAATACATGGCCACGATTCTGATTGGATTTAATTTATTGGCGTCTTCTCACTTTCACTCTGATTGCATTAAGTTGTATCTGTTCCATTTTGTCGAGCATCCAATAATTGGGTTAAAAGCGCACAAAAACACAATTAAACACATGTACTCAGTATTCGACACAGCTTAAGACAATCCATTACACGTACGGCTATGAAATGAGGAATATTACGGTTTGGAATCAAATGCTAATTATCAAAATTGCATTCTCGAGAATTCTTAAAACGTCTATTTTTTAGTATTTGAGGCTTGCATAAACTTATATTTAAAATTTGGCATCCTTTGAGATTTAAGATCAAGAGATCATGTAACCCATAAATCGTATATCTCGCTTTTATCAGCTTCGATAATTACTTCGACTACGTCAAAGACATATCAATCATCAGATGAACTTATGAATACACTCTGCCAAAATATATGTAAAGAGTATATTGTGAAATATGCCTGATTAAGAATGCTTAAGAATACATATACCTTATATATACCTTATATATTCTTAATCATTCTTAATCAGTATCAACAACCAAGTCGAAAACTAGTCTCTCAGTTTTAAAGTAATGAAACTTAACTTAGTTGTTTAAGCTTAAGGTCACATAACATATAGATCTTCTTAAGATCGATTCCTTTGCTTGATTATTAGGCTAACTTATATATAAGCCGCATCATAAACATATCGAACTAATATAACATATATAGGGTAATATGTTATGTTTAACAGAAGTCTAACTTGACGAAAGTCCAAATATCTACACAACCGGAAGCCATAATTCTACCATTTTGTATCAGGCGCGCATAAAATAGCTTTTGCCTTACGATTTCAAAGACTAACCAGATCCAGTTCAAGATTTTTTTTAAAAAAATTATGCGAAAGATGAAATTCTTATTATTATTACCAAAAAAAAAACTCTTGTTTGAGTGTCGGGAAGTTTGTTTAGCTTTATCATGGAAAGCGAAACCTTTTCTCAAATTATTTTTGCCCAAATTCTAATAAGAACGCTACATCCAACTGGGACTATTGTGAATCATTTTAGTTAGCAGAAGTTAGGCAGACTTATAAATTTTATAAAATATAGTTGTTTGGTATTATATTCTCTTAAAATAATGTATTATATCAAAATAAATAAATTGATATTTAATGGAATACGAATATGCTTTAATCATAGCCCCATTTTAGCAAAAAAGTCATTTGGTCTTGTAAGAACTTTGAACTAAAAATGTTGATCTACCAAGATCGTTTGATCGTTGACTGTAAATACTCGTATAGCTCGTGATCAGGGGCCGGGTCAGATGTCAGATACGTGCGCACATCCGTTGGCATCGAGCTGGAGCTCGAGCTCGAGCCTGCCTGCCGGCCGAGTGCCCCATCATCATGTTAAGCGCTAAAGGGGCTAAGTGAAGTGGGCAACAAGTGGGCAAGTGAAGCCCCCTAAGTGCCATAGAAAATTAACGAAATATGAAAAACTATACATCTTTGTCATGACGGGGCCCGACTTGGACTTGTAGATATTGTCGCGTTCCGTGGGCTGTGTATGGATTTCGAAATGTTGTTGCTGTTGCCAGCTCTGGGTCTGGGTCTGTCTCTGGCTCGGAGAGTGTCTGCCCGACACAGTCGACAACAAATAGCGACAGCAGAAATGGAACTAAAGTACAAAAACTATTTGATATTTTATGCGGGATTTTAAATTGATCTTAACGAAGCTTAATTGAATGCCTCTGTATTGGTGAACTGCTTTGCCCAACTCTGGACTCTGACACTATAAACATGCACACGACATGCATGCATGTGCCTGTGCGTGTGTGTGTGTCTATGTGTGTGTGTGTGTGTGCCAGCGTGCACGCCATATTGGAATTTCGTTGCGCAGATCACAATCGCACGCACACATACATATATATGTCTCTATGTATGTGTGCTTGTCTGGAAGTGCATAACGAAAAGCAACAAAAAAAAAAAAAGAAATGTACCGTATATCGTAATACAATGTGATAATATTCCACTGGAGGATGGGAATGCTGCCGAATGATGATGCTGATGATGCTGTGGAGTGACTGTCACTGGGCTCAAAACAAGTGCGACGTGTCTCCCTCGCTCTCTCCCTCTCTCTCTCTCTCTCAGTGTGTGTGTGTATCTTATGGTGATGGAAAAAAAATATGAAAAGTTCTCGCAATCACATTCAACAAAGCTTAGGCAGCGCGTTTTGCTTTCTGTGGCAAACTGTACCAAGTTTTTATTTGCTGTAGAAACCCAAAGCGAAAATCTTTATTTGAATTTGATCTGAATTTAATCTTAAGCGGACAGCCCTCTTGGGCGGACAGTTACGCGACGAATTCCATAATGCAGCCGGCGAAACTCATTGCCTTTCCATTAGATGGATTCTAGTCGGAAGACTAAAATTACCCGGCGTTCGCTGGCTAACCAAGTGTAATCGTAGTCGAAAAGTTATTGCTCATCGATTATTTCTCTAAATAATAACTTTTAAATATTTATTTCGGTTCTACATTCGTAAAAGTTGACTTCCCTGACCTGACCCCCATGCCATGCCCTCTCCCAGAAGTCATCTTCATTTACATAATTAAGATAAAATCGAAGTCTTTCAGTTAGAGACTAACAGCAAGATCTTCTAAAACTATTAGCTTTATCCGTGCACCTTTGACTTTTGATCTCGTGCAGATGCTATCCTCGTTGACTTTTCTTAACCCTCCAAGCCTCAAGTCAGCCCCTCCCCAGACCCGACCAAGGATTGTCCCGCACCAAAACCAAAACAGGGCCCACATAATTGTCGCAATCGCAATGCAAAAAAAAAAAAAAAAAAAAAACAAAAATAATGTTGTCTGATTATTCACACGCAAATGTCCGGACTACGGCCGGGGTCGCATCATCTCATCTGTGCCCCGATTGTGGGGTGAGTTGTTTTCTTTTGCTCTGCGCCGATCGCGTGCGCATTTCCCATTCTCGCATCCAATTCCAATTCCGTTTCCGCTGCCCGCATTTTGGAACCTGCGCAAGACAAATCCCTCGTATATATGGCCACATAGCGCGCCCGAAAGTATCAAATTGTTTGCTGTGAGATTTTCCTGTTGTTTGTGCGGTATTCGATGGGAAATTTGCTATGTTGATCCTGGGAAGAAGCTGAGTTCAAGTTCCTTTGTTACTTTGGCAAGGTCAATGCGGGCATCGGTTTTGTCTAATGGCTGGCGTGGTTTGATTAGCAATAAATGTCGAGAATATCTTAGATAAGAATTTTAGCGGAGACGAATTAAAATAGCAACAGTTGGTAGAATGAGAAATAGCTGGAATGGTTTAACTTTAATAGTAGGAAATAGCTTTGACAATTAAGAATGTTGGGAAATATAAAAAAGGGATATTTTAACTTATACCACTTAAGCATACTTAAAAGCTTATCTCAACTTTTAAAATTTCCCCTTTCAGTGAGTTCGCTTCTCTCCTCCCCACTCTCTCCATTCACTTTCACTAGCCAAAGTCTTGATGTGAAATCTTAAATTCCAGCCCAGCGACCCATAACTTTCCTAGCCCTCCCGTGCAGTACCAGCATTTGGCCAAAAGGTCGCGCACGCCAACCTCCGCAGGGTGAGGTTCAGTTCAGTTCAGCTTAAGGGTGAGGGTGAGGGTGAGGGTGCCACGCGCAGCAAAACAAAAAAAAAGGTGAAGAAGGTCGCGATCCTTGAGGTTTTTGGTGGTTGTTAAAATTCCAGCAACAATAACGAGACCCTCATGCGATCGTATGGCGTCAGACAATTCCAATTGGAATTGTGTATAAAAGTGTATGCTAATAAGCATGTAGAGGGATTCGTGCTGGCCAAAGCTAATCGAAAGCGAAACATTTGCGCACATGCAGGCAGGTGATAGATAATTCATTAGCGAAATAACAAATAAACGCAACACAGAATTTTAAATCCAATACAATAAATAAGCGAATCTGTTTTAGAACATGAAATACAACAATATAAGAGTTTTGCAGATCTATTGTGAACAATTAAGATAATGTTATGGGCTTCTGTTAAAAAGTACCCAAAAAGCTAAATGGATAACAAGAGAGCAGCGGAATTTGCGAAATGAAACAAATAAACGAGACACACAATTTTAAATCCAATACAATAAATACATTTAAACAAGCGAATCAGTTTAAGAACATCAAATAGCAAAAAATAAGAGTTTACTACATCTATTGTGAACCATATAGATAGTGTTAAGAGCTTCTGCTATAAATTACCCAAAAGCTGTTAGAGAAGCCCAAATGCGCGACGAAAAATTTCCCAGGACATGCCGCTGCTGTCAACCGATCTGCTGGCTGCGTTATGGGGAAATAAACGCACTCGACAACCCGCTGCCAAACGTCACAAGCTGAAGGCGAGCCGATTCTCAGGGCAAAACAAAAACCACACCCCACTGTTGCAAAGGCAGAGACAGAGGCAAAAGCAAAAAGTCACACGCGCCAGCATAATGTCCAAACACAAACAAATGCACGCAGAGCCGACGTCTCTTTCTCTCTCTCTCTCTCGCTCTGTTGCGGCGCTGTTGCGGCGACAGCAGCCATTGCTCGCCGCTGATTGGTCGAGAGCGGCTGCGCTGCGTCGCTGCTGGCGAATTGGTATAAAAGGGCAATCATCGCGACTTGTGTGCTCAATTAAGGCCACAGTCACAGGCTCGAACGGTTGATCGTGCACGGAGCTGGGTTCTGTGTTTTGGTATCGAAAGGAGCGGCAAATGGTTTTGCGCGTGCGCCAAAAACTAAATGCAATTAATTCATTTACAACAATTAGCGTGCAGCGGCAATTGATTTTGATTTTGATTTTGGCTTTGCGCGCACTTTGATTAACAACTAAATGGATTAACGCTAAAACAAACTAACGAGTGCGTAACGGTATAATTGTGTGTGTTAGTGTGTGTGTGTGCCCTTTGAAATGGAGCACGCCAGCTTCGATGATCAGATCTTCGGGGACTTCAGCAGCGGCCCACTAAGTCCACTGGGCGCCAGCAAACCCCTGCTGCCGACCTCCACGGCAACGGTCCAGCACAGCAGCCTGCATCCTGTCATGCTCGGCAGCGTCGTCCACGAGCTGTGCAGTCAGCAGCAGCAACAGCAGCAGCAGCAGCGACTGCCCGATTGCAATACCATACTCCCGAATGGGGGTGGGGGCGGCTCCGGCTCGCCAAACTATGCTCAGAAAATGGACTTTGGCAACAAGATGGGCTGCTTTTCGCCCAGCCAGAAATACGAGTATATAACAACGCCCCAGAAGCTGGTCGAGCAGCAGCAGCCTCAGCAACATCATCAGCATTACGCCGTAACGCCGCCGCCTACGCTCTCCCACGGCCACAATCCCCACAATGGCATGCTGCAGCATAAGCCTAACCAACAGCAGCAGCAGCAGCAGCAGCTGGTGGGGATTATGGGCGACTATCATACGTTGAACAGCAAGCTGGACTACTCGCCCAAGGATCCGTATGAGCCGCAGCAGCAGCACGTTCAGCTGCAGCAGCAGCAACAGCAGCATCTGTACGGCGGCAGTCCGCATCATAGCCACGCCCATGGCCACGCCCATGTCCATGAGGATGCCGGCAATGGCAACGGACTGCCGGACGGACTGTTGCTCGGCAGCACGTCCGGCGGCAAGCACAAGAAGCCGGAGGAGATGTGCGTCCAGCTGGAGAACGGATCGTCAACGCCCAACGGCATCGTCAATGGAAATGCCAACAGCAGCAGCAGCGGCAGCGGAAGCAGCGGCAGCAACAACAACAGCAACAACAACAACAACAATAATAATAATAACAGTGTGACCAACAATTCCTCGGTTCCAGCTGCTGCTGCTGGCGGCGCTGCTGGCGTCGGCGTCGGCGTCGCTGCGTCAGCTCCCAAAAAGGACAACAACAACAAGAAGAAGGGCGATCCGAATGGCATCAAAAAGAAGAAAACGAGGTAAGCGACAATTTCCAATTTCCAATTTCCAATTAGCTTAACGACGGGAAATCAATGAAATTATCTGCCAATTTATATACGCACAACGGGACGTATGCTTAATGTTTCTTGATGCACATTAAACTGCGGGAGGTGCGATAATTCTGCATAGAAAAAAACATATCTATACACAAATGTGGCACATTTTGAGAGCAAAACTTATCAGAAACGTCGCAATAAACTGGAAGCTTTCTGGTTTTTAAATTTTCTTACAATCTAATGAATTAGTAATAAATTTATGATTTTTCCTTTATGAGAGAATTACCAAGTTATCAGCTTAAATTATACATTTCCATGACTGAAATTTCTAAATGCTACAGATTTGAGCCAGCACCTTCTCCAACTACAGCTTGCAATTATGTATTATATAATATTATATTATATTATGATATTCTCATAAAATGTCGAATATATTAAAGCTGAAGCTACGAAAACCTTATGCTACCTGCCTTGAGCTTGAAAAAAGGGAAAAGTTTAGATTGCAGCTCTTTAATCTTAACTAGAAAACTTGCTGAGGCTTCATTTATTTGCCTAGATGATTTCTAGAAAGATGAGAGTAAGCTTTGGTTAAATAAATGTAACTTAAAAGACAATGTTCTGCATACATTAACCTACGTATAATATATAAAATTATATGAAAACAAAAATGAGAACTCAAGCTAGAAGAAGTTGTACATACTTACCGTTATATTGTGAATAGGCAAAATCAGTGTAACCATATACATCAATTTCTGTGATGCCAGATCGCCACAAACCTTTTTCAACACTTAGTTATTGGAAAAAACAGTTAACACTCAAGCGCGCGCACATTTAAAATTGCCCATATTTATGCACTCGTTCTATGCATTTGCAGAACTACGTTCACGGCTTATCAGCTGGAGGAATTGGAGCGTGCTTTTGAGCGTGCACCGTATCCGGATGTGTTTGCGCGCGAGGAGTTGGCGATTAAGCTGAATCTGAGCGAGTCCCGTGTGCAGGTTTGGTTCCAGAATCGGCGTGCCAAATGGCGCAAGCACGAGCCACCCCGCAAGACGGGCTACATCAAGACGAACACGCCGCCGACGGCGGCACTGAATAGCACATTGGCGCCGCCGTTTGCCAGTTTCCCGCAGACGACAACGGTTACGCCGCCGGGCAGCATGGACAGCTGGACCAGCTATCAGACGCCCTACGAGCTGAGTCCACAGTTCAGCCTGCTGTCGCCGGCGGCCAGTCCATACGGCACCTATTCCGGCCAGTACGGCACCTATGTGCACGAGAGCCAGCTCTTTCCCATGCGCCACTTCGACTACGGCAGCCCGCCACGCATCGAGATGAACGGCGCCGGCGGCGGCAGCACAGCCAGCGGCAATGCGGAGGCAGCTGAAGCGGGCAACGGTTACCAGACGACAGATCTGCAGCAGCAGCAGCAGCAGCAGCAGCAGCAGCAACAGCAGCAGCATCTGGACGGTTCCGGCAGCACCCAGCTGATAACAGTGCATCAGCAGCTTAATGGCAAGTATCTCAGCGCCGAGGAGGCCAAGTATGTGCAGGTGCAGTGCCAGCCGCCAACGGGCCTGGAGGACAACGGCGCCGCCTGTCACATGGATGCGCATCATTATGTCAGCGCCGTGGCGGCGGCGGCAGCGGCATCCGGCAGCGAGGACAACGACAGCGGCCTGCATACTGTGATCAAGAGCGAGGATGCAGGAGGAGTCGCTGTGCAGCAGCAGCAGCAGCAGCAGCAACAGGCGCAAAGCTATGTCCTGCCGCCTTTTTTGAACTAAGAGAAATGCTCACACATCGACGTCGGCAGCAGCGTCCCTCTGCCTCTGTCGCTGCCTTTGCCTCTGCCAGCGTTTACGCAGCAGCAGCACGCTTTAAGCGGCCATTTTGAGTTCTTTTTTTTTTGGCGTGCCTTTGCATGCGTGTGTGTGTGTGTAAGAGAAATGCTCACACTACGACGACGACAGCAGCGACGCTCTGCCTCTGCCAGCATCTACGCAGCAGCCGCACACTTTGAGCGGCCATTTTGAGTTTTTTTTTTGCTTGCCTTTGTGTGTGTGTGTATGTGTGTGCAGCATTTCAAACAGTGCTAGAAAATGTGGATCTACGCAGCAGCAGCACACTTTAAGTGGCCATTTTGAGTTCTTTTTTTATTGCGTGCGTGTGCAGCATTTCAAACAGTCAAACAGTGCTAGAAAATGCCAAATATATAGAAAATGTGGATCACAGCCAGTGTTGTTGGCATTGGTTCCTTGTTACATTTAAGCGTAGTTTAGTTGACCGACAACAACAAAATCGACAAGTCTTGCCACAACTTAATGCTAATTTATTAGTCTTAGTTTCCAAAACAAAAAGCTGTTGGCCATTTGCATTGGCCAACACGTACGGAATGCATTCCAAATGTGCCTTATTAGCAGCGGCCAGCAGCATGAGGCAAAATCCAATTTGGTTTTGTCTCAACTCTGGCCCAATAATTAATCGCCTAGTTGTATGTATAAATTGATGTATATCAAAAACTGTTGTGTAGTTAGACAATAAAGTGTTTGTATGTTTGTATAATGTTAATACTTATGCATACTTTTGTAATTTAGAGCTTCGAGTAGCTGCTTCAAGTTTTCATATATATAAGTTTAGCTCGTTTGCCTAGAATCTAAATACAATTACAATTTGCAATGTATATATACATAGAGTTAATAATAATACATTTATATTAAAGAATAAAGCAACATATTTTGTACCAAACAAGTGAAAACGAAACAATCAACAGAAAAAAATAAACAAAAAAAAAAACAAATATTTTGAGACTCTTCTTTTTGGATAATTATGTGGAACGTACGTTCTTTTGTGTTCCACATTTCATATCAGACTGTTAACATAATTATTAAAGCACACTTGAAGTAATAAATTATAGAAAATTGGTAAATTGCAAATTCGACACTTTGACAAAATTTAATCTAGGATTAAGTTTTACCTTGTTCCCGAACTTTCTGCCAATCGATGCCATCGAAAAACGGATGCGCCTGCAGCTGCTCGTAGTCCAAGCGCAGCTCCGGGGACAGTTGAAGCAGTTGCTCCAGCAAATCCCGAGCATTGTCCGAAATGTCCAACGCATCCGAAGGATATTGCACACAGCCATAAAGCTCCAGCTGGCCGGGATGCATCGATTTGTAGGACTGCAAGGAGAAGCCAATTAGCATTAAATAAATGCAGACTTCTTATACGGCAGCTTACCACACCCAGGAGCAGCTGGTAGAGCACCATGCCATAGCTCCACCAATCTGAGCGAAATGTTAGAGGTCGTTCCGGCGCCACAAAATGATCGTTGAGCGCTACCAAACTTAGCGCCTTGTGCACGTAGTTGTCATCGGAGCTGAGGCCCTCGTTCTGATAGAAATACGTAAGCATTAATTGACCCGACTTCCCCAACAAAATGTTTTCCATGTGCAGATCGCGCAATATAACACCCTTGCCGTGCAAACTGTGCACAGCCACGGCCAGCTCGCAGGCCCATTGACGCAGGCAGACCTCGGGCAGACGTTTGGCTCCGGTCTTCAGTCGCCGGGGTGTGAGCGTGCCCGCCTGCAAGGTGCTCAGCGTATGCGAGACGGACCTGAGCAGCTGCTGTGAATTGCGCAGCAAGTCGGTGACATCGCTGTCCGTCGTGAGAGGCTGCTCTGCTGGGAATAGATCGGCGTAGTCGCCGCACTTGCTGGCGGTGGGCGTGTAGCTTTGTATATAGTCAAAGAGGCGGCCGCCCTCCGCCTGCTTGAGCAACAGGAAAATCTTCTGGTCCGACTGAAAGTAGGCCAGCAGTTGGCACATATAAGGTACACGTTGTGGCAAAAAGATGCTTTGCGTTGGCGAATTGCTCGCCGGCTTCTCGATGCCCTTCATGACAACCGCGGGCTGCGACAGCGGCTGTGTGATGCACTGCACCTGCATGACACGTTCACCCAGCACTTGCAGCACCTTGTACTTGGCCAACTGATTCCAGGGACATTCCAGCTGCGATACGTTGTCCGCCTCGTCCAGCGAGAGCTGAAATTGCAGTTTTCTTTTACCATGTCTGTTACAGACGGCGTCGGAGCTCAAGAAGTTAGCATAGATATCATCGGCACGCGCCAAATACTTGGCTATCTTGGCCTTGGCTATAAACTTGCGATCCTCGTTGGCATCATGCTTGGCGCCCACGAGCAACAGCTCCACGCCCCGCTTGTAACGCTTATGGGCGTCTTCATACTCCAGATTGACTTCCGACTGCACGGCATGACTGAACTCCAAGGCGGCCTCATAGATGTAATCGCTATCCTCGCTCTCCACGGAGGCCATGGGCGTGAGTAGGCGTGTGTAGTCGCGCTTAGACTGTTTCTCCTTAGCCTCAATGCTCGTATCATGCTGCGGGTGCTGATTGGCGTCGCTATCTGTGCTTGGCAATGTGTCTTGCGGATCGTAGTTCAAATCGAGTTTATCGCGAATTTCAGCTATGGCCCCGCTGCCCGGCAACTTGAGCGAGCGCTCCACATACAATTTGCGCAGCGGCGATGCATTTGGCGATTGCGCTTCGCTAAAGAACTGCGTGAAAGTGTTGCACTTGTACAGCGCCGGATGCTGTGCCGCAAAATCCAGCAGTAATAGTATATAGTCCTTGCGTCGTTGTATCACATCCGCATCGAAGCGTTTAAAATAACTGCTGTCGGTTGGCTCCGGCAACTTGCCCGGCAGCTGCATGCTCTTGTGCCGGCGACTGAGCTCCCTGTGCAGCCGCTTGATCTCATGAAACCGTTTCCATACAACCAGGCAGGTCAATGCCTGCGGCACCGAGCGGGGAAAGACCTTAAAACGTTGTGCGCACCAATTAGTTGAATATTTCCTAAAAGGCCAATTGCACTTACAATCGATGTAATCTTGTAAATAGTGTAGCCTCCTTTGTGCTGTTGCGTGTCGGTCACTGTGAAACTGTGTATCCAGCCTCCCAAATTGAGGGCCATTTTAGATGAAGTCCCCGATTTGGTTTAGCGATTCAACCAAAATATTACTGTAAAAACTGAATGGTTTTCCTTGTCGCCGTTAACTGATTTCTAAACATGTTTATTACAATTTCTGGTGGAAGTGAAACGTATCAGGATGCGTAGTTTCATAATTTTCATTTGTTCAAATTATGTTTTCGCGTTTTTAAGGCATGTTTTCGTTTCCTTTAACTTGACGGATGGGTAGGAGGCATAACAGCTAACAATAACAGAATTTGAACTTTAACATTTTCGAAAATGTTAATTTTCGGAAGTATTTAAAATGAAATTAAAACGCTCACATTGAAGTTGCTTAATATTAAAACGTGCCTATGTGGCTATACAGTTTGGTCTGCAATTGTTTAAATAAAACTTTGCAATAAAATATACAAATTTTGGAATTGAACGATTATTTTAGGCTCGAATTCAAATGGGCAGCCCTGCAATTCGTGATGGACTATCGCGAAAATATGGTTGAGAAAACATTATATCGTATAAGCCAACTGCTAAATATCTTATGATTTTCGTTTTGGTATTTATGACGGCACTTATTGTTACGACACAACTCAGCGTACATGATCGATAGTGCCACAGCCATCGTTATCTCTATCAGACTAAGCTCAAACACAACTAATCCTTAGCTAAGCAAATTTAAAATCTTTGCAAAAGCCATTGTTAACGATAAGTAGCAATTATTTTTACGTTCCAGCAAATATTTTGACTTTCCGCCTTTTTGTTTTAAGATAATAAATTAAAACCTTTGTTAGCGCAGTGTTGAAATTTTGTTGCTATGCTGAGACATAGGTACGATGTTTATCGGACGTTAGACTGCGCTTATCGATACTCAACGATATATCGTGCAGCGCCATTCAAGAGCCATCTTTTTTTGCCGCGCCTCTGCCTCTCATTCTCAGAGACATTTTTGAGATACCGACGACAAAGTAAGCGTTTGAAAATCAATCAAATAATTCAAATTAACCTCGTCTAGTGTCAGTGTGTGTGTAAAGACAGTTAAAATTATAAATAGTTTTATAAACTGAAAAACTTTAACGACGCAGGCTCGCTCCCAGTGTATAAATTATTCATTTTACCCCCAAACGTTCTTTACTGTACTCGCAGATTCGTGTAGCGTCCACGACGACATTGAAAACGGAACGGCAGCCGAACCGAGCGTGCGAGTGAGCTAAGCAGAGCGCTTGTCAACTCAAAAAGCAGTAGAGAAAAAGAAGGCGACGAAGACAGCAGCAGCATAATCGACGCCGCACGTACCGGGAGCATTTAAAATAATTTTTTCTGTGGATTAATTTTACTAAAAAGGATTTAAACACAATGACTGAACGTGAAAACAACGTCTACAAGGCAAAATTGGCCGAACAGGCCGAGCGCTACGATGGTGAGTACGAAAAAACGGGGCGAAAAAAAAAGTTTTTTTTTCTTGTCAGCGGAGCGCAAACTTTTGGGGAGGGGTCCAGTTCCATGCTCGTCGCGTGGCCTGCGCTACGTCGAAAATTGCTCAAAATGTCCACAATTTATACAGCGGGTGAAAAAAAAAAGAAAAAAAAATGTAGGCATTATTAATTTTTGCAGACATTTGTGTGTAGGTGCGCCCCGCTGCCAATGGCTTTCGTCAGAAGCGTCGAGTCGGCGGCGTCGCCGCAGCCGATGAGTGTGGTGTTTCTGCGAAAAGACCGAATACCGAATAAAAAAGATGACGAGCAGGCGAGGCAGCGCTGTAGAAAAGGCAAAGAAAGACTGGAAAAAGAAAAATGTAAAACAAACCTGATTTTTACCGGCAAAAATTCGCGTGGTTTTCGTTATTGAGTTGGCTTTTGCAAAAACCCAGATTTGTTGCGTATTATATTATATGTACATTTGTATATGTAGGTACTGAACTCTTAAAGAAAATTTATAGGATGGTGGGGGAATTTTCAAGTTGAAATTTTGTGTATTTAGTGCTCGTTGATAGGCGTGCAGGGGGCTGCGCGACGGCGGGGGAAATGACATCGTTGCTAAGGGCTGTTTTTGTAAAAACTTTTCTGTTGCCAAGTCAAACTTTTTCTAAGGAAAATCCTTAACTGCATTAAGAAGCAGCAGCATAATTTATTGGTTATTCAAATATGTTAACAGTTGGCCCTAGAAGAGAGCGGCGCCCATACCTTTTTCTTGTTCTCTTGTTCCTTTCGCTCAATTTAATCGCCACTCAAAATGTGCTTTTGTTGCGCAGCAGCGCAGCAAGGCGGCGGCGGCGACGTCGTCATCATCATCATGCCGTGCTGTGAAAAATCGATGAATGAATCGATTGTGTGACTGGCGCAAAAGTAGTCGCCGCTGAAGAAACAAAACGATCGGCGACTGCAGCCAGACTTCAAATATTTTTCTTTATTTGGTTTTTATGCAAATAAGTTGCTCATTTTATTTATTTTGTTTTTCGTTAAAGAATTTTCTCGCATTTAAGGGCAGGCAACTCTGCCTGATAGTGCAGAAAGAAAAAATTTTGCACTAGCATTACTCATGCTTTTGTGCGCATGTGTATGTATGTATGTACATACATATGTATGCATGTATGTGTGTGTGCGCCTCTGAGAGGCATACGCACGCACGCTCACCGCTACTATCTTAACTACTCACACCATCACAGTCGGAAATTGTATTGTTGCTGGCTGCTTATTTAATTAAAAATACTTCAATTAATTAAAATGCTGCGGCTGCTCAAAATGCAAAGCACTAGACAGCAAACCAGCGTTTCTAGCATTTGACTAAAAAGCGCGCGCGCTCGACGACACTGCTCAAATGCGTTGCCATGTGCGTTAAAACGAGATAACTAGAGTGTTGCAAACACACAGACGCGGATGCCTTTTCTGCCCCAATACACAGTGGCGGTTAGAAGTTTGCTAATGTTTGTTGTATTGGGACTTAAGCATTAATAGTTATAATTACAACTAACAATTCTGCTGGCAATTGCCAGGAAAACTGACAACACTTAACACAGGCAGGCGGCATTTTTATCTCCCTTCCTCTTGCTGCCCAAGCAGCGGCGCTCCAAAGAAGTCAATCAACTATTAGCAGCTACTGCGGGCACACACAGACACACTCACACACACACATACACGTGAACGTTAAAGTCTGTATCACATGTTTTTCTTCTTATTTTCGCCTGCGTGAGCTCCAAACTGTATTCGTCTGTGTATTTGTGCGAGCTCTTGGCGTTGGCCTTGTCGCACTTGGACAGCTTTGGTCATGCTGGAGAGACTAATACAAATGCATTCCAGGCAGCCGGCAACGTCTGGCTGACTGCCTCTTGCCCCTCTCTTGCCACTGCTTTGCCATCACAATGCCAACCCCTCAAACGTCTCCTCGCCCCCTTGCACCCCAATACATATTAACGTCAGCGGCGGTAGCTAGCCTTTGAGTGTGCTTTCAGGTGCTGATTGCTGCTGCTGCTCCCGCTTATTCTAGCTACTTTTTTTTTTCGAGGTCGCTGTGCATGTTTTTTATTTGGCGTTCAGCTTAATGTCGTCAATGGAAAACAGAGAGAGAGAATACAGGAAAAGCTACAAAACGTTACAGATTTGACTGGCGTATTTTTTAGTTTGCTTGCGTAATTACACTTTCCTAACGGAAAGTATTGGCAAGTAACGGCACGCTAATAACCAAACACATACATACGTGCGCATATAAATATAAATTGGCTTTGCCTGTATGTATGTATTCTGCGTATATATGTATGAGCATAATTTATGTGTGCTGACACGCCCACGAAAGAAGACGTCTGCCCAAGGTTCAGACGAATCCTACCTTCCTTTGTCGACTCGTCTTAAATTCCTTCAACTTTGGTGTGACGCGTTCTGTCTCTGTGTGGGTGTGAGGTATATGTGCGTGTGTGGGTGGGTGCTGCTCGAAGAGGTTGGGTGTCGCATTAATTTTTTCTACTTTGGGCTGTTGACTTTGTCTTTGCAGCGTATCTTTTCGGCACCTTTGGGTTTGTCATGCCGTGGGAATTTCGTTTGATTAATATATATTTTGGCCTTGTTAGTAATATGCTGTTCTGTTGGCCAATTTTTAATGATGTCTTAGCGAAGCTTTTATTTGTTACAAATTAAACAGGTGCAATCGAACTATGAATTTCGAAGTTTGTCTGTTTATGGCAACCCTAGTATTACAGTTTGTCGATGCTGTGTACGCTGACGCAGTGTTGCAAAATGCATTGCAATTGTGTGCCATTGCCAAACAACAATTTGAAGTTCACCGTAAAGCAACAACAACGAGATGCTGCTACTAAATTGAGCACCGTGAATCACACGGCCAACTTTATTCCAATTTTCACAGCTACGTGCTGCAGCTATACATATGTACATATATATATTCGAATAACAAAGCTCCCGCTGTTTGAACTTATAAGTATGAGGGGTACGAAGGGGCGGCGCACTCATACAAACGCACGCATATACGTCAGCAGCCAGCTGCGGGAGAGAGAGAGAGAGTGAGAGAGATGAAATTGAATTGCAGGCAAAGTAAAAATGATACAGTGCTATTTAGCACTGATTTGCCTCAATGTGTGCTACAAATTGTTGTGTGTGTGTGTGTGTGTGGGTGTTTTGTATGTGTATCAGTTGCCCTGTTATCAACACGCACACTAAAATAACGGCGACTTGTAAGTTGCAGCTGTCATTCGATCGAATTCACAGTCACTGCAAATGCATGTGATTCATGACGCGCTTTTAGTGCGATGACGCCGTTGCCAGCCAGTGTTGGGATGTGCAACAATGTGTCTGGCAGGCGTTACTTTTCATAACAGTTGTTGTTATCATCAACACCATGAGAAAATCGGTCTAAAACGGGCATACTCGATCACAGGAAACAGCTATATGTGCTGGTACCTAACTGTGATAAGTTATGCCATTAAATATTGGGAGAGTGTGCACCTCCTACTCATAGATAGTGTATGAGGTTGATAAATATAAAAAGCGCAAAAAAAGAAGAAATGAAAAACAATGGATACTTATGGAATTAAGGTAAAGAGTTATAGAAATCTAATTTGTTTTACTTATCATATTAAGCATTGCGCAACTCGGGCAAAAATATATCTATGCTATTAATCAATTGGCACATTTATTAAGTTTTAAATATGCATAAGTTCTTATCTTATCTTACGCGCTTACATGTTTCTCTCTTGTCGCTTCTTTACAGAAATGGTCGAGGCCATGAAGAAGGTCGCCTCCATGGACGTTGAGCTGACCGTTGAGGAGCGTAATTTGCTTTCGGTTGCCTATAAGAATGTGATCGGAGCACGTCGAGCTTCGTGGCGCATCATTACCTCCATTGAACAGAAGGAGGAGAATAAGGGCGCCGAAGAGAAATTGGAAATGATCAAGACCTATCGTGGTCAGGTGGAAAAGGAGCTGCGCGACATTTGCTCGGATATACTAAATGTGCTCGAGAAACATCTCATTCCATGCGCCACGTCCGGCGAAAGTAAAGTATTCTACTATAAGATGAAGGGCGATTATCATCGCTATTTGGCCGAATTCGCCACCGGTTCGGACCGTAAGGATGCTGCAGAGAATTCGTTGATTGCCTATAAGGCAGCAAGTGATATTGCCATGAACGATCTGCCACCAACACATCCCATACGCTTGGGCCTGGCTTTGAACTTCTCGGTAAGCGCGCAAGAGAGAAATCAGTCAATATTATATCGAAAATCAAACTAAAATATGTTCAAATCGTAGGTGTTTTACTATGAGATACTCAATTCGCCGGATCGCGCTTGCCGCTTGGCGAAAGCCGCATTTGATGATGCCATCGCTGAGTTGGATACGCTAAGCGAAGAGAGCTACAAAGACTCGACACTGATTATGCAGCTTCTGCGGGACAACCTCACATTATGGACGTCCGATATGCAGGCAGATGGTGTGTAATCCCTAACAATCCCAATTGTTTATATATATATGTGATTATCCAACTAAAATCTCTGCTTCTCTGTGTTCGTATTTAGACTCCACAACAGGCGATGGCGAGCCCAAACAGGAAATTCAGGATGTTGAGGATCAGGATGTGTCGTAATTTAAGTAAACCCCCGCCCTTCCATTTAAAACAAAACAAAACAAAAAAAAAAACAAACAAAACAAAACAAAAAAACAAACACAAAACAAAAACAAAAACATATACCTTCTAAAGTAAATATAATACATATAATATATATGCATACAACAATAAAAACAACACGCAACCGGGTAGTAAACAACAAGTAAAAAAAAACAACAGCAACAACAAGAACAGCATCTGGCAACAAGAATCAACAGCAACAACGATAAGCGACAACCAACTACTAAAAAGGGGCAGCAGCAGCAACAACAACAACAACAAGAACAAGAAGAACATCAAGAGCAACTACAACAACAGCAGCAAGTAGCATGAAAAACACATAACAAAAACAACAACAACAACAATTACAACAGCAAAAAACGCGACACGAAACTGAAGGGGCTATCGTGGGCGTGGGCGTGGCTGTGGCTGCTGTTGGTTGGGCTAGAGAATTGAGATGCAGCCGCCGTCGCCGTCATCGTCATCGAATGCGAATCCGAATCTTCTTTGCCCAGGCTCCTTCAAAAGCTACAGCAGCAACAACTACTACATTTGAAATTTTTTGCATTCGAGAAACAAAAGCATTATATTATATTTAAATAAATATTATATTTAATTCTGAGAAGCGAAAAACAAAATAAACTCATTTCAAACTAAACACAGCACACAAACACACACACACACACACACACACACACACTCACACACTCACACACACAAAGTAAGCAAAACGTAAATTTCATCCGAAAGTTGGCATAATATTCATTTAACAATCTTATCAGCATGAAAACGTTAAGATACATAACTTCAACTTTAATTTTAAGCCAGTCATAAAAGTAATTAAAGAAAGTAAATTAAAAGGAAATAACACTCAAAAACAAAAGAAACAAAAAAATGAATAAGCGCAAATTGAATAAAAGCGAAGCAAGCAAAAGCGTAACGTAATAAAATGTAAAAGAAGCAAATGCCGTAACAAAAAACAGCAGCAATTAAATCTAATTTAATACGAAACAAGAAGCAAATGTGAAGTAAGAACGAAATGAGCAAACACAAAAACACAGAGTCAAGCTAAAATATAGAAACAAAACAAAATCACAATGAGAAAAATGAATGTTAGTTAATGCGAAATTCGAACGAAATAAAAGTAAAACGGATTCTTAAGCTTAAAGTTGTATGTACGTAAGTGTATTTGTTCACACACACACAAACACACACACACACGGACACGAACACGAACGAAGAACACGTATACACCGTGCAACCAGCCAATCACAAATTATGCAAATAGAAGAGCTTTCTTCCCGTTTTACTCTTATATATTTCACTCACCTCTTTCTTGCTCGCATGGAAATCAAAATTAAGCGCAGTTTACGTTAGTGTTTTTTATATGTACAAGAGTTTGTTTAACGTTTTTTAATTCACTTCGCCACAAACATTTCATATATATATATATATATATATATAAATAAATATATATATAATTATTAAAAAGAAAAGTATTTGTAGTTGCTAAAAACAAATGGTACACATATATATAAATATATATTGTATACATCTTAGTATATATACATTCGTATGTATGTACTTGTATATTTTCTATGCCTACCACTTATGTAATTTGTAGAGATTTCGAATTTTTCCAAGTGAAAACAACAACCCCCAAAAACCAAACGGCGACAAAATATTTGCATTTAACCGTCAACAAATTTATTTAGCTAAATATGGAAAAACCAAAAACATTAAAAAGTTTATGTTTTTCTATCATTTTGTTGCTGCGTACCAGGCGAACAAATTGATTAGCCACATGGAACAGCCTTTTTTTTCGCACACGATGCTTTTCGAACACTTTCCGCTTGTATTTTCCGCCAATGAGAAGCTTCTGAGCCGAAATTGTATATGTATGTACACACACACACAGACATACGCATGTATGTATGTATTTATATATGTGCAACGGCAGATGTGAAAAGCCGAGCAGAAAGTTCACGAAGCATTCGGCAGCAGCAAATACATAATTATTAACGAAAAACACGGTTCTTAAAGGAAACAACAAAATCAACAGCTAAACTGACATTCGTATTCATTTCAAATAAAAATATTAAAAAAAAAAAAAACAAATTGAGCATAAATTATTGAAAGTTTGGAGGAATTGTAGGAGCGTAGAAATACTGGGATTATAAATGATTTACAAGTAAAGAGGTTCTAGTTGGGAGCTTCCGACTAGCGGATACCCTGAACCCTCTTCTTCCAACATCAAATGCATATATATATTCTATTTTAGAAGGTATATGTCAAGTTTGGGGACTCTAGCTCAAAATGGCCCAAAAAACAGGATATCGATATCGATTTTTATCGATTGCTTGGAAACGGAGTAAGTTATCGATTATCGGAAATAAACTCGATCTGCGCGGGAACTTGGAGCACCTACATCTAAAATTTTAAGTCTATAGCTCTTATAGGTTCTGAGATCCTTGCGTTCATACATACGGACAGACGGACCTGGCTAGATCGACACGGCTGTTGATGCTGATCAAGAATATATATACTATATGGGGTCGGAGGTGCTTCCTTCTGGCTGTATCATACATTTCGATTTTGGGTTTTTAATGGGTTCAGGGTATAAAAAATATAGGGGAATATATATTTCAAATTTTAAGTCTACAGACGAATGGGGTTCTAACGATCCAGCTCGTCGTCCAGATCAATATATTTCCTTCATTTCCATATCTTGGCACACTTGCAACAAATTGTGTGACAAAATCAAAGCATACGCTGTACATAAGGGCATAATTTGAAAATCATGAGCAGTCATTGACACGTGGATCAATATTGGACACTTGTCGGAGACACAGCAATGCGGAGGCATCACAGCTCGAAGTGTCTGTGTCCACTTCAGCTCAATGCCAAAGCCAGGCGGCATTGATACGAGCAGCCACAGAACTAGGTCTAGGGGCCATTGTTTGGGTTATGCACAGCCGAGCCGAACCGACCTTGGCAGGCACAGATAGATGACAAAAGAGGTGGGCATACAAATGCTTACATATCTATATTTAAAAATCTAGGTAAATTGGCAGACCGCAGTTGAAAGTGGACAAGCCGAAAGGCGTAACGATTTATTTGCAAAAAGTCGCTGGGCTGGAGGAGACGACGACAACATCGACAAAATGTCGCTGCAATTGCAAATTGAGAAGCTCAAAGGTCTGGACAATTACAAAGCGTGGTCGATGACAGTGCGCGCCTATCTGGAGTCCGAGGATCTGTGGTGCGTTGTCGAGAATGGACCCGAGAATAACGAAGAGGTAAATGCTTAGCTCGAATTTGGTGTTCGCATTAAGGTTCGCCCTTTGCAGTCCCTGCTGAAGGATAAGCGTGCCAAGTTCCTGATACTCTGTCTGATTGAAACGAAGCTGTGCCAGTTTATGGTCAGCATACGCACCGCCAGGGATCTATGGAACTATCTGCGCACCCAGCATTCGCTGCGCTGAGGCCATTTTCCTGCGAATCAAAATGGACACCAATAAAGAACATTGCAGAAAATGATATGAAAAGCTTTGCTTACTTCGCCTTACTGTGCCAGCTCTATGATCACCGGCTGCTCCTCGGGATCCTCGTCGAGTAGCCCATCGAAATGCCAGCCCAGCTCCTTGGCCAGTCGCTTCATCAGACGCTCCGCATTTACCATCAGACCGCCAGCATAGAGATTCACCAAGAGCTCGCGCACATCCTTGTAGACTGTGTTGTGAATGGTGGGCGCCATCAGCTCTTCGGGCAGATGGGGCAGCTGGTGGGCCAGCACTTCACTGTACTTCATAAAGGCCAGCTTGTGCTTGCCCACGGCTGTCTCCGAGTGGGCCAGCAGGGCGAGCAGCTTGCGCCAGTGATCCAAGGACTCCACCGAATAGCCAACCAAAAAGAAAACAAATGCCAGCTGCAGTTCCTCAATGAGCGCATCCGGCTTGTTGCCAAAGCTCTCGAATAGTCTATCCACAGCTGCAATGCAGTCCATGGCATGGCGGGATACATCCGCCGGCTGTGCGTCCTGTGGCACACGCGCAGGCACCACACAGAAACGCGGCGCTGTGCCCTCCACGGGCTTCAGATGGGGCAGCATATCGCTTTCGTCCAACAGCAGTTTGGCAGCTGTGTTGCGTCTGCTGATGCTGTCGGCGCCGCCGCGTGGCCTGTCTGCATTCGTGCAGGATTGCAGCTCAATGTTGGTGCGTATTGTGCCCAGCTCGGGCTGGCAGCGTTTTACACACGGCTCGGTTACGCTGCCCGTCAGATCCTTCCACTGGCACACGTAGCGATAGTCGTAGGGCGCCAGCACGCGCTCCAGTTGCGCCAGATTCTTACGTATGCGTTCACGCTCCAGCTCCGGATCCGCTGTCTGACGTGGACGCAGCTCCTCCAGCTCATTGTCCCATTCGCGCACGAGTATCTCGTTGGGATGGAAGAAATGCACGAAACCAACACGTGGCGCCGCGTCGCCATAGGGCCCGCGAGAAGCGCACCACACATAATGCACGCCAGGTGGTATCATCTTGACGCCGCGAAAATCCGGCCCTATCGTATAGGCGCACAAGTCAATGCCGAACTCCGTGCCCACCGGAACGCCAGCTATGGCCAAAACGGCGCCGTCTGCGAGCAGCCGTAACGCCAGTTCCGGATCCATTTGCATGCTGGAGTTATCTTTGTTCATGTTGAGTACTTAACGTTAGGTATTTGCGTCCACTTTGCTTTACAGAGGCGCCCTTCCTTCAGCTAATCGTGTTTACATTCATTTCTGTTGTTGTTCATTTCGGAACAAGCTCAATGGAACTGCTTTTTGTCTGATTCAAATGAACTAAGCGCTAACATATAACTAACTATTTTGTATCTTTAGCGCTCATTCGTTTAATTTTATGCTGTTTAAAAGGTATTTAGTTATGTTTTTAGTTAATAACAAAGCTAAATAAAAATGTTAGCATGTTTGGCGTGTTGCAAAAGTTCCGTGTCGGAACTGCCAACTAGTTCGATAGACCAAAATAATCGAAAACTCTGTGCTGAGTCCAAAAGAACCAGATTCCCCATGTTGATTTTTGTATGATATAAAAAATAATTAAACAGGCCCGCAAGTTTGGTTAATAACGGTTGCAATAGTAAATACTATTTGATATTAGTATGCAATAAACATAGTTACAAATTTTGAACCTTTGAACTTATTCATTTTGCTCAGATCCTTCGGCTATAAGACCTCCTCCATTTGCTGGACAACTGGGCTAATAAATAATAATAAAGCTACAAGTATTCTAATTTATATATAAAAAATTAAATAGCTCCTAAGGAACATTTGTCCCTTGGAGCAGTAAAACCGCGTAGGTCTAGGATAGTCTGCCCGGAGCTGATATTAGTTAAATTTATAAGCCATAGGACACATTTTCGTATTATACTTAAAACTAAGTTTTTATATATTTTAAATAATTTTTTTTTTCTACAAAACTTAGCGAAATTAGTATTGCAAGCTGCGTTTGGTGCCGATATCGTCAAGTATTTGGCGCAGCTCCTCATCCTCAAAGCGACCTTCCAGTGAGGGTATCAATGCCTTGGCCTCCTCCGGCGCCTCCGGGCACAGATTACCCAGTGCAGCCAGCTCGAACTTGTGCAGTTTCTTTTGCATAAGCAAACTGGGAGTACACAAAATAAAATATTAGAACAGATGCTTGCTTTTAAGGCAGGTGTTTGGTGTTTACCTGCGCACGGACATAATGGTCTCCTTGTTCTTGAACTTGCGGAAACTGTCTGTGTATGCGTAGGTTTTCATGAAGACCTCTGAGAACTCCTGTTCCTCGTCGGCGGATTCGTTTTGCCGCTTGCGATGATCAAGCAGCATGTGCACCTCCGATATGAGCAGCGTTTCGGCATTTTCAAACTCTGCAAAACAACCAGATGGAGCTCATGAGAATAAATTATATAAAAAATATTTAATTTGCTTTTGCAATTTACAAGTGAAACGAAAAGTAAAGCTAGGAAAACTCCTAGCCAAAAGAATGCGGTCGTATGTGGCCATTTTCCACCAAGAAATCATAAATCTGTCGCGTTTTGTTCACATCGATCTTAATCAGCCGCCGTGCATCGCCCAGCCGCAGATGCCCCAGCTTGGCCTGCTCGGCAATCAGTTGATTTTTATACTCCAAATAGGCCTGCGGTATCAGACGTGCCACGCTACAAAGATTACGTTCTCCAGCATCCAGCTTGGAGTAACCGGGCAGATCTGCAAGAAAAATTGTTGCTGTTAATGCCAATTTCTAGAAAAATAAACCTAAGGCCTGCCTGTTCAATGTCCAACGTATGAAGGACATTCAGGTATGTATATTGTTATATTCATTTTCTATGCTTTATTCCCTTGTTTTTGCTTACCCGAAATTTCCATGGGGCTTGCCTTGCGACGTGGATACAACATATATACCCTAGAGCTGCTGCCCTGCGGCAGCTGGCCAGCATTTTGATTGTTTTCGTAATGATGCACCAATTGTTGCCAGTCGTGGGCATCGTTTTGCCATTGTCGCGCATAATCTCGCTGAGCCTGCTGGCGCTGCTTGTAGAGGCGCGTATAAAGTCCGCCGCCGTAGAGTGTGCGTACACCATGTTGGCGTATGTCGTGGAGCCAATGGAGCCGGTTCTGTAGTTGGCGAAAGTAGCTCAGCGACTCCACCAGCAGGTCAAATTCGGTGGGCTCACAGACTTGCATTAGGGCGAGGAAACGCATGCAGCTGGCATCGCTACGGAACGCACTCACATACTTGGATATCCAGCTGACCGTGCGATTGGGCATGATGAGGCCATGATCACGCATAACTTTGTAGCGTCGCTGGCGTTCTCTACAAATAGATTGACAGTTGAATAAAGTCGATTGGAAATGTGGGGCAGGGTCAAAGGCACCTCAGGCGATTGTTATAGGCACGGACAAGTGCGCACTGCAGTTCGTCGACCAGCTCCTTGTCGGGTGATTCACTTTCAGGCTCATCATCTGCGCCAACACGTTGCTGATCCACCATTATGGACAGCAGACCCTCCGCAGAGGCATCGTAGGGCGTGTCAAAGTCGCCACGGGCACAGCGATAGCCGGCATTCAGCTTGAACTGCATAGATGCAATGTCATCATGGCGCGGCGGCTCGAGGGATCTCATTTTGAACACATACGGCATACGCTCCGGCAGGTAACAGTTTTGGGCATGCTGCAAACCCAACAGCCGTTCAAAGATGCCACCAAAGTAACAATCATGATAGTGCCTCCGTATCTCCTCGGGCTTATGCCGCCGCTCGAGGGCATCCGCGATAGCATCCCAGTTGCCGTAGCCGTGCGTGCGCAGAGCCTGTAACAGGGAGCGCTCATCCCGTGCCGACCAACCGGGCTCGGTGGAAAATACCTGAATATCATCCCGTACTATAATATAGGCGTGGCAGTTGCGATGGGCGCCAATTTGGCGACCTCTTGCAAAGCACTGCAAGCAGACCAAGACGTCAAGGCACTCGGAGCACTTGATGTACGGTTCTGTGAGGCTACAACGACAAGTCGCACAAGTGGGCCCGGCTGGGTGCCTTGTCCTCGGAGCACTATGATCCACGCTGGAAGCTATTTCCTCCAATCTCTTGTGAAATGCCTGAGCATTAAAAAATACTATTGAACGCTTTGTTTTTTGATCAGTGCGTGCGCGGGCAAATTTTGCTGTGGAGCGCTGAATCTGTTGTGTGCTAGGCTTTGCTGCAAAGAGGTAATTTAATGTGTTATGGTAAACATGCGGTGCCATGTGGGGCTCCCGTAAAACTCTTTTCGCTTCACTTGTAAGTTGCATTTGTGGCAATTGAAGAATTTGTTGTTGTTATTATTGTTACCTTTGGGAAACTGCAAGTCCGCGGCATCTTCATCCACCATATCCACTGGGTTCATGAACGACATGCTGGCTTACTTTGCTTTTTGTGTTGTGCGATAATATTAATAAATAATTTCTCAACAGATTCGATTTGTTTCCTCCCAATGCCGCTTTTTTAATGAACCAGGGATGGCGAAAATGTCGCTTGTGCTCGTAAACGACGTATTTTAGTATTTGAGCGACCTGCAACACTGGCACTGTTAAATATTCCACTAAGTGACTGCAGCTGTTAAATACTCGCGGTAATTTACATCCAATCTACATTTCTTTCGAAATTCACAACACTGGCTGCAATTGGCGGCGCACATTTCTGTTTTTAGTCGCATATTCTTATATGTTTGAAAAGAATCAGACTTGGGCGAGTTATGAGTGACGTTGATAGTGCCGAATCTATCAACGATCCAGCTGAGCATCTTCCCAAATACTGTGATTTCTTTAAGCATCTGCTAGTCGAGGAGTTGGTGCTGGAGCCCGATTACCGGCAGATTCACTACGGAAAGTGCGCAGTGATTGGACGTTTGTGCGCAATTCCTGATTACTTTAAGCTAGAGAACGTGACCGTGCCTCACCTGCCCAGGTAACTAGCACGTCCACTTCTGTATCTATATCCAATTAATAGCACTCTCTTTGTAGTGACTACAGGCTGCCCACTGGAGCGGTGTCCCTTCTCCTGCTGAACTTCACGTACGACAGCCCAAGCGTGGAAAGTCTGGCGCATGCTGGCTACTGCATTGTGCGCGGTGAGGTTGTGCTATGCAACGTACAGAAGCCGAACAGTCCTACGCTGACCACACGGGGCTTGCATGAGCAATTGCTGCAACTGGGCAATAACGAGCAGCTGAGGTCTGCCCTTTTGGAGAAGGTTCAGCAGACTCACAGGCCTGCGCTCAGCGTGTGGCACACGAATCGCATTGACCAGGCCGAGGAGCTCATTCAACGCCGGCTAGAGATTCGACTGCTGTGCAAGGACAGTATCAGCTGGGGCCAATGAGATGAACTCTCATTATTTGAGCACATCCCGCAGCAATCCTCAGTTTTACACGTTCTCGCAGCGCTTCGAGGCAGGCGCGAGCTGTGATAGCTTCTGCAGCTTAGATACGCAGTGGAAGGAGCGGGCACAGCAAGCAGCCTGGCTGGACTTCTGGCAACGTGAGGGGCACGAGTTTCTCGAGCAGAAGTGGCATGAACAGCATCCGGAATACAAGCAGGAAATTGAGTTAGCCACGCCCGAGGAGCGCACAGCCTGGCAAGAGCTGTGGGAGCAGCACGCCTGCGATCAAAGCGCTCACTTCTGGCACATTTTCAGCTGTGTCTTCGAGAATTACCAAAGGGACCTGGCCAATGGATTGCAAGGCGTTGAGCAAACGTTAGACGACTTAAGTGATAATTTGTCGCATTTAGATATTCAGCAAAGCGAGGACAGTGCAGTAAGTGCTGAAAGCGGCGGCGGGGACGAGCAATATCTTACCGCCAACGACGAACCCGAATTACTGGACGAGGAGCAGCAGCTGCGGCTGCTCGGCCTGCCCACGTCGTTTGGTGTGCGAGTGGCCAGGAAGCGACGGAAACCAAGACAGCGGCCTGCCAGCGAATCTGAGAGTGATAACGATACAAATTTGATAATCATGCCTAAGGATGAGGATAACGACGAGCCGCTGCATGGCGTACAATCGCGCGTGATTAAGAAAAAGAAAAAGAAGAAGCCACAGAAGAACTCGAAAATCCCAGAGTTTATGCGGGATGACATTTTGTTGCGTAAATACTGGTTCAGGCGCTTTTCGCTGTTTTCTCGCTTTGATCAGGGCATACTGTTGGATCGGGAGAGCTGGTTCTCCGTCACACCCGAGAAGATTGCCAAGCAGACGGCGCGGCGTCTGGCCGGCGATGTGATTGTGGATGCCTTTTGCGGCTGCGGCGGCAATGCCATACAATTCGCCAACACCTGCAGCCGCGTAATTGCCATCGACATTGATGCAAACAAATTGGCCATGGCAAAGCAGAATGCTTTGATATACGGCGTGGCGCACAAAATTGAGTTTGTGCACGCGGACTTTTTGCAGTTTGCCAGCAGCACACGGCTGCGGCCCGACGTTGTGTTCCTCAGTCCGCCCTGGGGCGGGCCCGATTATCTGAAACAAGCCACATTCGATATTGAACAGCATCTGCTGCCGCTGGGCGCCAGCCAGTTGATGCAGCACGCACGACGTCTAACTGAGAATATTGGCTTCTTTTTGCCACGCAACTCGAACATACAACAGGTGATCGCACTCTCGCACCTAGGTGAACAGTGCGAGGTGGAGCACAATTATCTGGACACGCGTCTGGTGGCGATAACAGCCTACTACGGCGGGAGCCTAGTGAAGAGTTCACGGGCTGAGCACCATGAGGACTAATTTTAAGCATCAACTTGGAGTTGATTAATTAACACTTAAATTCAGTATGATGTTACTTATTTACTTTTAAATGCTACTTGCGGACTCTGAAAGTCTTTCACTTGTTATTATTATTTTTATTTAATTTTAAGTTAGTTTAGTTTAATTATGGAATTGTAGCTTTATGTAAGCCAATTTATAGCTAGTTATATGCATGTATTGTCATAATGTTTGTTGCATTTGCAACGAGCTTAAGTCCAACTGTAACCGCATTGATAACAACTTGACTAATGAACAAAGTCCGTTCCCTTTTTGCCAAATCCCGCCGTATTTGTGATGCACGCCCGAACAGTAGTTGCCAAGGCACCGGGCAAAGCGCAAGCATTCTATCCAATTTAGACAGCTTAAAATGTTGTTGTCCTGTGCGCAGCCAGTTTGCGTCCCAATGCGGTAAAGTTGGCACTGACCAATGGTCATAACCGTAACGTGCCTCTCATCCTGCGTCGCATTGCGACTTTTAATTAAAACGCAAACGGAACAAAACGAGCGTCAATTATTAAGAACTTTGTAAAAAGAACTCTAAGCCTGGCAACCGGGCGGGGCAATTAACATGTTCATGTCACAAAAGTTGCCCATAAATTCCGGCGTAGACTAGATAACAAACGCCAGCAACCCCTTTCGTTGTTAACAACATACTTACAACCTCGTTCTCGTCCTGTCCGTGGGAAGCATGGGAAGGGTGGGGAGAGGGTTTCGGGTGTAATTGCGGAATTTATGGCGCTGGCATCCATTTGGTCGCTGCAGTTGCTCTTGCCGGATTTCGGCATTTCTGCTGTCAGTCTAATTAGTTTGACAAACATATTAGCGGACAATTATCAGGCGGAAGATGGAGCTCTTGAAATTTTAAGTGCACGCTTTCCTGCGCTGATTTTATTGACTAAGGCAAATAGCTTGAATAAACATTTGGATTAATTGAATAGTTAAGCTAGGCTGAATTAATTAAAGATATACTAAGATGTGAACTATATTTAGATACTTTGAGCGAGTTAAGTATTTAAAAGCCTTTCGTGGACGATTTAGAAAAATAATGGAATAACACAAGAACATGTGTTTCTTTCTTTAAATATTAAACTTTATATTATATTTTTTTGAAGATATCAAAGTTTTAGTTTGTGTGAAGGTTGGCACAAAAACTAAGATGTGCATTTTAGGAATTCCCAAAGCAATTTTGTTAATTACTCAAAACAAAATGCAATGTTATTATTGAATAATTGGTACACAAAGAAACTGAAATTCTTACTATAGTAAACTTATTCGCAAACATTTTGGGGAATTCCACCTGCAAGCGCGGAATTTGGGGGGAAAACGTTAAAGTTCAATTCAAAATCAATTTAGCAGATGTTGGTTTAGTTTAATTTAAGCTGTAAAATGCGGGTCAAAGGTTGTAAGAGGGAACGTTGCATACCCATTGAAATGGTTTAAAAAGGGTATAATGGTTTTGTAAAAAAGTATGTAACAGGCAGAAGAAAGCAACTCATTAAGATTAAATGGGAGTTCAAGCCCTACGAAATTTTTTAGTATTAAGACTAAAACAAATGAGCGCGTAACGCGAGCTGCATGGAAGGGTATCCCCTAGTCGGGTTATCTCATACCTCATACTTGTTGTTTTATCGATTTTTGTAGTTTATCCAGCTACTTTATTTATAGCCTCTGATCGAGTTGGAACTTGAAATTATATTTGACTTTCAGTTTGATAAATCAGCTCCCATTGTCCGTTCGTTCCGGCTGCTCATCACGCTTAATTAGCTGCGCCCGGAGACTGCACCTGCACAATCGCATTTTCCGCTGGCTGACAACTCTGCGCGGCCCATGAAGGACACGGCCTAATCGCATTTGGTATTGTCAAAACTTGTAGCACAAATAAACCACCCCGCCGTTTAGGATTTGGACTGAAGCTGGAGCTCAGCCCTCTTTCCGCCGCATCGTCAAGTGGCAGAAATTACGGATCAAACAATTGCAGTCATAGTTGCAGAGTTGGTTTTGCTTCGACCATTTATCAAGAACGTTGACAATATTACGCACAAAAAATAAATGCCGTAATAAAAGGGTGACTTAATTTGTTTTTGGCCCGGACAGACGCCGGCACTCACGATTACGGGCGTTGAGCTGCGAACACGTGTTTGCTTGCCAATCAAATTGTTCCCGCTCTTATGAAGAAACAAATGATTATTTTTCTTGTTATTGAAATTTTTCTGTTTTTTTTTTTTTGTTGTCAACCCCTCCGACGGCTGTAAAACGGCAATTACGCGCATCTAATAACGGTACCAGGCCTTATAGACCGACATAGATTTAAGTGGCCGATAATGCCGCGCGATTGACGCGTGACGCAATTTGTTTGTCTTTTATTAACAATTCGCATTTTTTATTACTCATTGACAATGTATAAAAATATCTGACGAAATTCTTAACTAATTCCAAGTTTCTTTTTAAGCATATTTATTTAAATAACTTCAAGCTCAGCTCTAAGTTGAGAAACGCATGACGCTCTTTCTTCTAATCTATATCTTTATCTATATATATTTCAAATTCAATGAAAAATTGATTTATAATTGAAGAAGAATAATCCATTATATTAAAAAGACAAGCTGTTGCTCTTGAGTGACTCGGCTTATATATTCTTTTCTTTATGTATTCCAGGTTCAGGCAAATCTCATGCCAATTGATTAATCTAACTAGCCTTTTATTGTATTCGCCTCAATTTTCAGAGGGCATATTAAAATTTCTTTAAATTAATTTCTTTTACTTCGCTTTGATTTTGTAACTTCAATTATATCAAACAAGTTTTTAAAGATCAATTTTAAGCAACCGAAAAATATTAATTTGAATTTTAAACAACCAAATATACTACCAAGAATTGGAGATTTTTATTTATTACACTGTATAAGCTATCAAATCTTTAAAGCAGCTAAATCTGGTTTCAAGAACTTCGCTGTTGTAAGAAGCTTGAAAATGAACTTTGAACAACTTTTGATTAAAAATGTTTCTAAAATTCTTGATTTTATTTCTTTTCATTTCAAATAATAACGTATCTTGATAAGTTCCGCCAAAAAAAGAAAGAAGTTCGTGAAGAAGCAAATAGTTACGCCCACACAAAAAAAAAAACAAATGGCGGCGCATGTGACTTATTGATTAAGCGTTATTCATGGCCTGGACATTTAAATTAATAAGCGTTGCCAATGTGTGTGCAGAACAACAACAGCAACAACAACAACAGCAACAACAACAACAACAGCAGCAATAACAATAACCAGTAACTGGCACTTATATACACCAGCAACCACAACAATAACAACCTTGTCTCGGGGCAATAAAAAATGCCAAGTATATCACAAAATAAGAGCAATAATATTTAATAAATGTGCACACACACACACACACAGAGCATACAATATGTTTTTACTTTGGTGGTTGAATGCGAAAAACCATAAATAAATACAGACACACATACACACACACACACACGCGCGCACAGACAAAAGCGGCGAACAAGAAGTAAGCGCATAAAAAGATTAAAGCGTGTTGGCATCTCCGTGTATATATAGGTAGGCAGACTTTCTGTGCATGTATATATATATGTGTATGCGTGTGTGTGTGTTTGCTGTTTGAATGCTTGAGCGAGGCGGTCTGGCAAGCACGGCGGCCTGCTAAGCTACGCAGCCCTGGCAGGCAGACAGCCCAACCCTCATTCTTCATGGCATTTCGGTGAAAAAGAATGCTTTTGATCTTCACAAGCGAATGATTTTTAATATGACTTTTTGCTGCTGATGACGCTGAGGTCGTCCCTTGTTGTTGCTGTTGTTGTTGTTGTTGTGCTCAAAAATATGTTTACTATAAGCTCAATTCATGTTCGCAGGCAGTCAATCAGTTCGTGTGCTTTTCGTCTGATTTTAAAATTAATGCAGCATGTAATTAATAAGCTTAATTAAACGGCAATACAAAGCAGTTTATGGCAGGCACACATTTGCACACACACACACACACACACACAGAGAGAGAGAGCGAGAGAGAGAGAGAGAATGAGAATACGCTGCGCCTAAAATTAGGCAAGCTCAAAGGGCCTCATTTGCGCCTTGAGGATTTGGCTGAGGCGAGGGGCATTACCGCACTGGGATAATGATGCTAATTTGTTGGTTTGGCCAAAAGAGCAAACGGCATGTTTGGAATTTCAATTAATTTCCATAATTTCCAACGCTTTATGAACGAACAGAAGCGTAGCAAATACGCCGCGATTACGAGGGTGTTTTTTCTCGAGTCGACAACGACGGGGCAACTATTTCCGGATGCGGAATGCTTCCGTCCGTCCGTCCGCCCGTCCGTCCGTCCGTCTGTGTGAGTGTGTGCCTGTTGGGCCTGCTGCAAGGCGTCCTTTTAAAATGGCCTCCTTGTTGCTAATATTATAATATACGTGCATTAATATGAGGGCAAGAAATCTGCGGCAAATCTATATAGAAAGTCGTTGCCGCTGACTGATTGAGGGATTGACTAATGGCTGAACAACAGCCAAACGATTTCGGTAAATTCACCCGTAATTGCGGAAAATTGGTGGAAAACAGGTGCATGCAACTTTTTTTTGCTTACGTTTCGGCTAGTTCATAGATATTTGTTGCATGAGAAAAAGTTGAAACTTGTTCAGGTAAACTTCAACTTTGTAATATTTACTTACATTTAGTTTGATGCCGAAATTTTTAAATATATATTCAAAGTTATCCAGTGCAGAGCTAAGGGATAAAGAAAATCACCCGCTTTAAATAGAAGTTTGTGGATTTGTAATCAGCAGCTCTTAGTCAGGCACATCCAACTGGAGCACTAGTCCGACCAAAAGCAAATCAGTCAACCAGTCAATCAAATCAACTCCTCTAAAGTAAAGCAAAAGAGCGCAACAAAATACATATTTCACACACCTGACACGCTCTTTATCTTCGTCAGCTCTCAAGGGGGAGTACGCTAAACTAAAATGGAACCTTAACTTCCAAAGGAAACAATTAACTTGCAGTTCGACTACAAATCTGGCGATAGGCAATATAAATCTGGGATTCGGCTGTTCCAAAAAATCGCAAAAAAAGTGCCTACTTTAAAACTACAATTGTCAGGAGCTGCTTTTTACTACACAGGAACTTGAAGATCCCCTGGCTCAAAGTAGTCGAAAGTCTTTAAATTTAATTAGATTTTATGTGTTAAGTTAAGAGTTGAATTGTGTATCATATATTTCTCATGGATTAAAGGGAATATTGAAAAATATTTGTAAATGAGTTTTTAGCATATTTGTATGGCTTTTAGCCTGCATATGCATACATATACAAATATATCCATGCATAGTTATCATAAACATGTCATAATTTCAATAATTAATCAATTTTTTTTGCAAATAGATACCAAAGCTGAGGCTGCGCCATAAAAGGCACTAGAAAATTGTAATTAAATGTTCGGCGCAATATTTGCAATTAAAAACTCGGTTATTATTAGTGGGCGAAAACCAAATAAATTTCTAATTACAGCGGCTAACGGCAAAGGAACAACATTTGCCATTTGCTTATTTGGCTAAAATTAATTTTCGGTATGAACGCAACATTTTCGAGTGGCCAAAAGGCAACAAAAACTCATTTCGACAATGCGGGGGGGGGGGGGGGGGGGCGGTGCACAGTTCCAAATTGGAGTGCTGGCTATGACCACCAGCAACAGCAGCAACAAGAGCAATAACGGTAATAACAGTGCTGGTAAACACGATTTAATTAAAAACTCAAAATGGCCGCTTAGTACCTGGTTTATGTGTTTTGATTTTGTGAAGTGGCCCGTCGATTGGGCGACTGGGCGAATCGAGAAATTTGCAAATTGCACTCATTATGGGTTTTGATTTTTGAGTGCCCGATGAGTTTCTAATTAATTTTCGCCGGGCTAGGCATTTATTGAAAAATGCGCG